CTAATAACTGATTCTTTCTGAACACATAGATCTGGTTTCAAGCGTTTGATAGAAATTGCTTCGGCAAACTTGAGGAGAATGGAGCTCCTTTGTCTATTAATAATTTTGAAGGATTTCTCGATTTCCACCTCATGACCCGTGTCGAGGAGATGTCTGGTAATAGCGCTGCTATAAGAATTTGTTCCCTTGAGACGTAGGCTTTTCGGCACATGTTCAGAAAATCGGAGGTGTGCCCTTCTTTCTGTTCTCCCAATGTAACTGCTCCCGCAGATACACGTAAATTTGTATACACAGTTGGAGTTAACATGAGAAGGGTATCTATCGACTTTTGACTGCACCAAAGAGCATGTTGTTCGGTGGACGGGAACCAACTTAGCTGCAGGATAGGCTCTGGCTAGTGACGTCCTCAGTCTTCTGTTGACCATTTCTGCAATGTCTTCACCTTTAAAGTCTAGTTGAATGAAGACAGGCTTTTTTTCGACTGTGATTTGTTTGGTATTTGGGCCTTCACATCTTCCATATTTGTTAATGAATTTTTGAGTATAGCCGTTGTTTTTCAGCACCTTTTCGAGATTCGTGAATTCTTCCTCTAGTTTCTCTGCAGAGCATATTCTCCTCGCTCTATAGTACAGAGTCTTGACTAGTGCTCGTTTATAGCTATTTGGACAAAAACTATTAAAATGTAAGTATTGTCCATTCCATGTGGGCTTTCGGTAGATTGACCTCTGGAGGCTACCATCTTCTAGGCGTTTTATGGCGACGTCAAGGAAATGGAACTGTCCATCATTTTCATGTTCCATAGTAAATACAATATTTGTATGTGCGTTGTTGAATAGTCTGAGTAGGTAGGAGGCATGACTTTCATTGTTGCATACTACAAATGTGTCATCGACATATCGACAATAGGAAGTTGTTTGATCAATTGCATGCTTCAGCTTTGTTTTCTCAAGGTTTGACATAAAGATATCTGCTAAAACAGGGCTAAGTGGACTGCCCATAGCTACACCATCTATTTGTCGGTAAAGAGTGTTGTCAAACTGGAATTGTACACCCATGGTACACATCAGCAGTAGGCGTTTGAATTCCGGCTCTGGTAGTGGGAGAAGATCAGACTGTTGACAAATTATCTCAATGGTTTCATTGATTGGGATCATTGTGAACAAGGAGGTTGCATCAAATGAAGCCATGAACTTATTTGAAACGTTCATGTGATTCACGCTTTCAGCAAAATGAAATGAGTCCTTTATGGTGTGCGCGGCCAGCCTTTGGCGAATGGGTTCCAACTTCTCCGCGAGCCAACGGGCAACCTTATGTTGGGGAGAGTTGATCATCGAAAGTATAGGTCTCAGAGGGACTTCTTTCTTGTGTGTCTTTGGAAGGCCATACATATATGGCAAGCGGGACCCTCGGGGTTTCAATTCATTGTACGTGTTGTTGTCAATCAATTTCTTCTTTAGAAGATCTCTCAATACGTTTGTGATGCGTTTTTCGGTTGCATCTGTCTTGTCTTTCTGGCAGTCGTCGACTTTGAACCTCAACGGATCACTGAGCACAGTTTTCATCCTTGCGACGTAGTCATCTTTATCCATCACTACCACTCCTGAGCCTTTGTCAGGTCGCAGTATGACAATTTTGTCATTATTTCTAAGAGCTTTCAATGCTTTTTGATGTTCTTCAGAGAGGACTTTTGAATATGACGTTGGTGAGATGAGGTATTGATTTGCAACGTCGACCAGCTTAGATTTGAACCAGCTCTTCTTGTCTTCATCAACTGGAGTAAGATCATTCAGCTGATAGAATAGGTTTTCGAATTGAGCAAAAAAAAAAAAAAAAAAAAAAAAAAAAAAAAAAAAAAAAAAAAAAAAAAAAAAAAAAAAAAAAAAAAAAAAAAAAAAAAAAAAAAAAAAAAAAAAAAAAAAAAAAAAAAAAAAAAAAAAAAAAAAAAAAAAAAAAAAAAAAAAAAAAAAAAAAAAAAAAAAAAAAAAAAAAAAAAAAAAAAAAAAAAAAAAAAAAAAAAAAAAAAAAAAAAAAAAAAAAAAAAAAAAAAAAAAAAAAAAAAAAAAAAAAAAAAAAAAAAAAAAAAAAAAAAAAAAAAAAAAAAAAAAAAAAAAAAAAAAAAAAAAAAAAAAAAAAAAAAAAAAAAAAAAAAAAAAAAAAAAAAAAAAAAAAAAAAAAAAAAAAAAAAAAAAAAAAAAAAAAAAAAAAAAAAAAAAAAAAAAAAAAAAAAAAAAAAAAAAAAAAAAAAAAAAAAAAAAAAAAAAAAAAAAAAAAAAAAAAAAAAAAAAAAAAAAAAAAAAAAAAAAAAAAACTAGTGACTTGTACTATAGAGCGAGGAGAATATTGCAGAGAAACTAGAGGAAGAATTCACGAATCTCGAAAAGGTGCTGAAAAACAACGGCTATACTCAAAAATTCATTAACAAATATGGAAGATGTGAAGGCCCAAATACCAAACAAATCACAGTCGAAAAAAAGCCTGTCTTCATTCAACTAGACTTTAAAGATGAAGACATTGCAGAAATGGTCAACAGAAGACTGAGGACGTCACTAGCCAGAGCCTATCCTGCAGCTAAGTTGGTTCCCGTCCACCGAACAACATGCTCTTTGGTGCAGTCAAAAGTCGATAGATACCCTTCTCATGTTAACTCCAACTGTGTATACAAATTTACGTGTATCTGCGGGAGCAGTTACATTGGGAGAACAGAAAGAAGGGCACACCTCCGATTTTCTGAACATGTGCCGAAAAGCCTACGTCTCAAGGGAACAAATTCTTATAGCAGCGCTATTACCAGACATCTCCTCGACACGGGTCATGAGGTGGAAATCGAGAAATCCTTCAAAATTATTAATAGACAAAGGAGCTCCATTCTCCTCAAGTTTGCCGAAGCAATTTCTATCAAACGCTTGAAACCAGATCTATGTGTTCAGAAAGAATCAGTTATTAGTCTTTCCTTGCCTTGGTAACTGGATGTCTTTTTTCTCCCATCTGATTGCGTAATCTTTGTCTTTATCTAACCTCACCCTCCTTTATAATTTTGCTTGTCTCTTGTTTCTATGATTTGAGTTCAACTCAGTACATCGTTACCTAACTTATTAGTCACTTTGCATCTCTCATCTGATTGTGTAATTTTGTCTTTAACCTCACCCTCCTTTTATAATCTGTAATTTTGTTTGTCTCTTGTTTCTATGATTTGAGTTCAACTCAGTACATTGTTACCTAACTTATTAGTCACTATGCATCCAACGCACATCCCTTACCATTATATACATACATTTATTTATTAATTTTTAACTTGAACTGCCTGTGTAAAAACTATATAAGCGCAATTTTCTGAGCACTGTTTACTAGTTGTGAAACTTTCTGTCAACATGTAAAATTTGCAAGTACGTTAAAACGTTTCTGTACTTAAACCTGAAAATTTATTTAGGCTGTAAGCAGCTGACGAGAAGCCAACGAAATAAATGATGGTACCATGTTATTCTGCACAAATCAATGTTGTTCTCGCTTTATTCAAATTAATCGTAAGTGCCTGCGTTCTATCTCCCGTGTGTGTTAAGTGGTATAATAAGGTGAGCAATATTGAGGTTAGGCCTCCATTGAGTGCTAGGTGAAGAGGAGGGGAAATTACATCGGCTAAGAGAGATGGTTAGGACATGTGTTACGTTTGCCTAGTCATTGCCTTCCTCGACGACGGGCAATGTTAGCTGACATAGGATTGGTCAGGCTGGAAAAGAGCTAGCGGCGGTCAAACCAAAACATGGCTTCATCAGTCAATGAAATCTACAACAGTTAGTTTAAGCCAAGTGGGAAGATGTAGACTTCTTGTCTGGTTGGGGTCCTCCGGACGGTAAAAGCTGGAGACAATTGGTGATATGGTTCAAAGTGATTGTTCTCAATGGCTGGTGCAGATGCATCCACTCCTTGTGACCTATAATCTCCAATGAAACTGTTTTGTTCTTCGTTATTACTATTCCTTTGTCTCACACCTCGGTGTACTTTCTCTGTTTTGCAATATTTCAAGTGTTGGTTTGTAGGGATTTGATTGGTTTTACGATTTCATCATGAGCTGACATTAGTTAGAGAACCACTGGAAAACCTGGGAGTACTGAGCAGCTGTCCAGTACTCCCAGGTTTTCCAATTTGCAATATTTCTTTCTTACTTTCTTCTCTTGCTTTGTGTGCTCCAAGGAGGGAGTGTTGCGACTTGAATTGCTGCATATTAGTGAAAAGTTCTATATCGAAAACAGACAGGCAGACTGACACTCCCAAAACCCTTAAACAAATCCCAATTGAAAACAACTAAGAGAATTGCATTTATTTGTTAGAAGATTGAAGGTGATCTGCGGGAAGCCCTGGATCTAGGTTTCATGCACTCTTCACTAATCATCTCATGTTCCTTCTGAGATTCAAAATCGGATTATCCTGTGCTGTGCTGTTATAGATCTTACCACTGAGGTACTGCGATTCTTGATTGACCATTTTATTGGACACTAGTTGACAACCAATGCCATGGTTTTAGTCCTTGGTTTGCAGCAATTCTATCAGTCATGTTTGTAATTTGACGACAATGCTAGACTGCTGGTCATCACAGTGTACTTTGGTAGTTGTTAGATGATTGGAGGATGTGATAATTTTCACTCATCAGTCGCTTATCCCTTACATGAAATTTCAGTTGTGTGGATGTGCTGTTGCACCTTATTGGATTGTTCATTCAATGCTATTACATGAGGTTTAATGATAGTAACAAGGTGATAATCTATTAAGTAAATTCATTGAAAGCAGCACAGAATACATTTTGTATTTTATCGCCTAAAGAGTGAAAAATCAAGTTAAATGGTCGCCATTTTTTAAACGGCGTTATCCATAATTTGGAGTAATCGTTTATTGTACCTATTTTAAATTGTTGTTTCGCTAATCTGTTGGTGGTACGGCAGAAAAAAACATGCACATCAAAAGGTAAATAACATACTAAACTGACAATGCACACATATAAAACCTACTTATTTTTACTGAACAAGCATCACTACACATTTCAGGGGTTTGAATTAATAAAGTCGAACAAGCTCGTGTCAGTATACTTGAAGAATTTGCTATTGATTTTGTTATTATTGACGGTCTTGAACTATATGGACGCCATAATTTTTGATGGTTGCCAAGTCGCTCTTTGGATGTATCAATAGGCGGTAGAGGGAATGTGATCTGAGTGAAGGAAAACAAACAACAGAATAAATTAAATAAAATCATTGTTCCACGTATAGTTAAAGCAATCAGAATACAAGTTTCTTGCCACATAGTTCAACATTCATTTGACTTTATCGACTAGATCGAAAACGTCAACTTATCCACCAACAAGACCATGATTTCATTAGATGTCACGTCCTTGTTCACAGACTGAAACAATATGCTACATATGCGAACTTATTCATTCGAAGGGAATCAATATCGGTATACCCACCGAAGGTCTTAAAGAATTTCTGCTGAGGGGTACCCTGAATGTTCCATTCTCTTTTGACAACGAAATATATCGCCAAAAGGATGGTATAGCTATGAGCTCACCACTAGGCCCATTGCTTACAGACTTCTTCATGGCAAAACTCAAAAATACATGCCTGAAGAAAACGATCGATACCTTCGGATTCTACAAGAGATACGTTGACGACACTTTCATTATCAACAACAATGGAGACAATTTGGACGACGTCTTAAATTCTTTTAACAACTGCCACTCCGCGATTCAGTTCACGTTGGAGAAGGAGTCTAACTCCCTTCTTGACGTTCAACTAACAAGACGAGAACAGGATGCAACACTGGAAAGATCTGTCTACAAAAAGTCGACGTGGAATGGACAGCTTACTAACTTTCACAGTTGGGTACCTCTGTACACCAAACGAAACCTGATCCGTTCAGTCAGCTACGGAGTTCGCCAGATTTGCACCCCAGATACCATAGAAGACCAACTTGCCAATCTCAAGAGTACCCTCATCGAGAATCGTTATGCAGACGGATTTATTGCAAAATCCATGAATCCTAGACCGCAAAAGCCGAACACGCTTAGCGCCCCGAGAAAACTCCTCTACATGAACCTTCAATTCAATGGACATTTATCTGCGGAAACACTGAAAAATCGACTGTCCCCAATTCACTCGAGAAAACATTCTTCGCGGCTGAACTACGATTCACCTTCTCCACGAAACCTGTGATTCATGTGAACGTGAAGGATAAGCTACTACTGCTGACCTCATCAATGTGTATCTACCAATTCGCCGGCTCGTGTTGTGGTGAGAGGTGGCTGCTAGCCAAAAGTGGTAGACAGTATTTTACTTCAATGTGTTATGTCGCAAATATTGGTCGTGAAAAAATATGAACAAGACTGATTCAACACCCAATCACAGCACACTTTGCGTAGGCGGATACAATTCGAAGATAGATGATCTGACCTTCAAGAAACAGCCACAAAGAGGTGCAAGGTCAACTTTCTGTGAGAAACAACCAATCAGAAGACTGTGTTTAATTGCTCAAAATAATCTATAATAATGAACATGAAAATATATAAATACGTGCTGATTTCCTAAACAAACGATCTGTTGCCTGGCCCTTGTCTACTGTTGTTACAGTGTGAAGCCAGGTATGTCAGCTGTACCCAGCGTTCGCTATCCAAACGTATCACCGAACACTTACCAGCATGATTTTACAAAGGAGAAAAACGACGCCCCCGCAGTTTCTATCTTAGAACATCTGATGGATTCCGGATACCAAGCTACACCCCAAACAAACTTTAAAGTCGTCTGCAGAGTAAGAAGTAGTCCTCCTAAAGGTGTACGAATTAGACTTCTTCAAACTGTAGAAGCAATGGCAACTCACTTACTAAGTCCTGAACTCTGCATACAGAAGAGGTTCGTTCAATCACTACACTCGCAATGAACGTAAAATGTCTTAACACCCAACAGGTAAATTCTATTTCTTTCTGTCTCTTCATTAGTATTATTTTGTCTTCTCAATTGTAATATTTTACATTTTCAACCTTCTTTTTCTCTAACACCATCCGATTTAATTTCTGCACTTCATTACCACTGTTACTGACTTGACAAACGATCAATTTATGGTCATTTATGTTACGTCATCCAATTTATCTGCTCACTTTTAGTCCTAATTTAAATGACATTATTCTCTACCCCGCCTCTAATTAATCTGTACTTGTAATTACCTATGTTGAAACATTTTATATTATAAGTCATCTAACTTACTAACTAAACCTTACTATAGTTGCTTTATAATTAACCTTGTTTTTATGTTAGATCATTCCTGTATTACCTGATTATTTATCTGAACTTGAGAGACCTCATGTACACACACACATACACACGAATAATTATATATAAATGCGATTGTACAGCTATTCTCCAAAAAGAGTCTTTTCGCTGAAAGTATTCTCTTTTTCACAGTCATATCTGTTAACTGTTAGGTAAACTTTTTCAGGAGTCCAGAAGGACAACGAAAGCTTTGGGATTAAATCAACTAGCTCAGAGAACACAACTAATTTTAAAATGCACAAACAGCGAAGAAAATTTTCTTTTCGACGATTCATTTTCATGAGCTGTACGATCGTAATTATAATTAAACACAAGTTTTTTTTGACCAATCAGATACTGGTAAACTTTGTCCTTGAAAATTTTACTACATAATGTGAGGTGTAAGAAGGGATGACTAACTGTAAGTTAGAAAGGAGACAGAAGTTGGCATGACCTAATAAATGTGAGATAATGACTAATCAATAAGCTAGTGTAGAGTGGACAGGAACTAGTGGAAAGGTTATACAGTAGTTTTGTGAAAAGCGATGTTATTAATAAACAGTAATAGAGTGGTAATAAAATGTGGATGGTGGGAATAGTAATAATAATAAAAGTGACAAAAATTTATGTGCGATGAGTCAGAAGCAAAATAACCAGGGAGAGAAGCTACTAACTATGCTAGACAACGTCACTGTTACAGCGTCATGCTGTAAGACAGCTCCCTAAAGAGACTACATAGACATTGCGCAAGCATTTTTAATTAAGACTATACAATATTCTGAGGGAGTTCTCATCTCCTGAAGTACACAATGGAAACCAGTCATAGTTAATTTCGAAGAAACATTCGCTGTCAAAAGCTGAGTATCAGTAAACACGTAGATTTTGTTGAAATTTCTGTTGTTTTTTTTTATTGACACTTTAAACAATATGTACATGCATGGAAGACATGAAAAGACTAGCTGTCTTTGATCATAGGTGCCTGCGTCCTATTTCCCGTGTAAAGTGGCATAATAAGGTGAGCAACATGGAGGTTAGGCGTAGAGTTCTAGGTAAACAGGGGAAATCAATCGACGAAGTCGTGAAGCTACAAAGACTGAGATGGTTAGGACATGTGTTACGTATGCCAAGCCATCGCCTCCCTCGACGAGCAATGTTAGCGGATATAGGGTCAGGCTGGAAAAGAGCTAGCGGCGGTCAAACAAAAACTTGGCATCAGTCAATGAAATCCACAACAGTTGGTCTAAGCCACGTAGAAAGGTGTAGACTTCCAGGCTGGGGTCCTCGGGACGGTAAAAATCTATGGTTGGAAACAATTGGTGACATGGCTCAAAATCGTTCTCAGTGGCGCAGATGCATCCACTCCCTGTGACTTATGATCTTCAATGAAACTGTTTTGTATTTCTTTATTACTCCTTTGTCTCACACCTCTGCTCACTGTTTCTATTATGCTTTTCTTGTACTTTCTTCTCTTGCTTCGCGTGCTACACGGAATGTGGCGACTTGAACTTCCGCACATTTGTGCAAAGTTCTATGTCGAAAACAGACAGACAGACATGTACATGCAACCATTTGATCACCATGGCTTTTACAAATTATCTACCCTTTCCGTTAACTTTTATTAACATTCTGGGCAAGTGTTATAAAAAAATCAATAAGTCAAGGATTTGAAAGTTTGACAATCGGATGAAAAACTTTACCCGAAGTTGTAAATGCATTTCAGATTGTGCTATAACAAACAAATGGGAATGAGGCCACCATGCTAGGTGGTCAATCGCGAGCCTGAACAGCTCAGTGGTATTTTCTCTTACTGCAGCACTGGGTGACGCGGGTTCGAATCTCAGAAGAAGGGACATGAGTTCCTTCAAGGTGGTTGTAGATACGCCATGCTGCCTGCCTGGTGAGTGCCAACTAGCACGAAACCTAGGCCAGGTCTGGCTCCCTGTGGCCGATCACCTCCAACCATCTAATACATTAACAAACAGATCTCAGACTCTTATCATCAGTGATGCATTTAGTAAAATAACAGTCAACTGCCCAAAACTTACCTGTTTTGTAGAACTTTGTTTACGGTGACTTGATGATTTTGATGATATTCTTTGAGTATATACAGATGTATTTACAGAACTATTATTAGTATTCTGTTGTGCAACTAAATTTCCACTAATCCCTTTATGCAGATATGGTGGATGTTGTTGATTGACTTGTCCACCATGCTGATGCAGTGCAAATCCAGTTTTAGAGACTACAGACAAATTATTTTTGGGGCTTGGTAGACTAAGTCCTGTAGTTAACGGATTCGATGAATTATTATTCGATACTGGAATTGTGTTGACTGTTGATGCGTTAACAGTAGAATTAGATAACGGTGGCAGAATAAGACTACGAGAAGCTGCACTATCACCCACAAGATTGGCTGGTATTGTCGACGTTTGAATATTTTGAACTACTGCATTAGCGGTTGTTAATGCCAGTGGAGATGGTGGCGATGGTGTAGGCCCGACTATGACGGAAGACAAAAACTGGTTACCATTGAAATTACGACATCTCGATAAAGCATTTGCGCCAGTTGAGTGAGTAGAAGATTCGGTGTTCGCCAGCTGTATCGTTGGTGTTATTGGTGTTGTTGGCGAGAAAACAGTATTCTCTTCTAAGCGTGAAGAATACTGCATTGGTTGTGGTTGTGGTGGGGGTAAGGGTGTACGTATTTTATCCAATGGGGCAAGTCTCCCATTATGATGTAGGTTAGCAGCAACACCAACAACCCCAACACCACTAGAACCGCCATGACTTGGTATTTCTGTTATACAACAACAACTGCTACTACTACTAGCCGCAGGGACACATTTACGTGTTAAATAATGTGGAGATTTACAATGCAAGCTGGAGACAGGCCGTGTAACAAAAGCACTTCCTGCAGGTTGTGGACTGACACGTGATACTGATGTTGTGACCGTTGTTGTCATAAACACTGAGGATGAGTGCAAACTAGTTACAGTAGTAGTAGACGGATGGTTACACAGTGAATCTGTTGCGACGTAGCTAGCCGCCGCAGTCGGTTGTATTCGATTAGGGTTGTCACTGACTTCACTAGTAGTAAATAGGATTAGAAAGAAAGACAGAATAATAACAATGTGACAAACCATAAGCAAAATTATCATTTAAGTCAATTAAATTTAACGGTAAACAAAATGCCTTTAGTTAGAAAGAGAGAGAGAGATAACGATTTGTGGTATGTTGCACTGAGAGAGCGAGAGAGATGGGAGTGTAAATAATACACTTTAAACTCGATTAAAACAGAGAATCCATAAATACTGTTTGTAACAATTTGTAAAAATTATATTTTATATATACACATATATAAATTATACTTTACCACAAAAGTACCTGTGGCCAAGAATCTGATTAACAGAGCTAAAGGACTATAGTTACTGAGGTGGAGGAAAAGATTAGCAAGGAACTAAAATTGGTTCAGTCCACTCTTGAATCAAATAATTATCCTAAAGTCTTCATAAAAAGATATTTAAAATGTGAAGATAAGGATGAATCGAAACCTGTTGCTAAGAATTGGGTTAGTGCAACCGTGATTCCTTACCACAAAGAAACATCGCATGAGGTAAAGCGAATCCTTAACGATCGTAACATAAGAGTGTATTTTCGTGCAACTAACACCTTATGCTTATCACTGGCGAAGGTTAAGGATCAAAACAGAAGAAGAAAACCAGCAGAATTTTGCGTATCAGATCAATTGTGGGGACTGTGACGCCGTATATGTAGAAGAAACTTCCAGATAAGTAAGAGTGAAAGAGCATAAACAATGTCCTAAGGTAGTTCCAAAGACCTATGCAGACTCAGAGAAGCTAGAAAATATTCGATAGAAACGGGACACAAAATTGACTTTGATGGGACTAAGGTTCTCGGAAAGGTTTTGGTTCATATAAAGAAAGACTGACTGCGGAAGCCCTACATATATCGGCGAATCCCAACAGTCTGAACAGATGTGAAGGTGTGATGTTAGCTGATGCATGACAAATCCTGATTAATAAATAAATAAATAATGGATATGTATCACTAGTTAATCATACTTCATTTAAATACTCGAATGTCTATATCTGCTAGTGGAGAGGCCAACAAGTGATTCACAGTTGTTTCTCCATACACACATGCACACACACACACCATTGTATGCTGCACATACACATATACGTTTTCAAATTCAGTTACCTGTGACCTCGAACTTTAGTCCGACGTAATCACTAAAATTCAGTGTTTAATAAAAGTAGACTGAGGTCAAATTTTGATCACAGCTTATACACTTTAGTTTACTATATATGTTGATACCTGTTCCATGACTCAGACATGGTTGGACAAAGTTTTTAAAAACCTCTGTTATGTTAATTTCGATTAATTTCCTTGAAGAAGTTCGGACCAGTTTGCTGAACACAGTATACGTTGGAATTAATCATCTCAATTTCGTTGAGATTATACAAATATAATTTTCTCTTTTTTTTCCAGATGTCTGGTTCTCACTAGGTGCCAAATTATTTTGAAATTATTCGGACAAATCTTGACCAGAGTTTATATTGTTCATATGAACACATGAACAATATACTTCCCCACTGAATATTATGCGTAGATTATTCACTTGTATGCGCTTCGCATTTACTTTAAAGCATTTTGTTCTTTATCCACTGAATTAGCAGTCAGAATAACTAAACAATCAAGTATAAAGGTACACTTAATTAGTACACGAATCTGTCGCGATTACCTTCTTTACACATAGTGTGATTTTAGGTAAGTGAAAAGCAAACTGGTTAAGTTGCTTATATCTTATTCATCACCTTTTTGAGGTGTATTAAACCGGATATATCGCCTGTAATGTAGACATCGAACGAGCGAAACAGCTGTCCGGAGTTTGAATCATATGGATCTGGCTAGTGAGCACTACTGTTTCAAGCGGGTGGTCTTCGCCTACTCATATCAATCAATTAGTAGTACATAGCACCGTCGCTGACAAAGCATATCGTCTCTTGTGTGCTTAATTTCTAACGCCTGGTTATCATTTTCAGCTGAGAGTTCAGCGATAGGAGAAATGGCTTACTAATATATGTATATAACTTGGGCAATGTGATAGTAAGTAATTCCATATTGGTTTGTTTATTAGATGTATCACACAGTGAAACAGTATTATTTACTGGATGGCGTTTCAAACACAATTTAATATTGTTCAAGATCATATCAATTATAATCACACAACTTCGAAACTTGAGTTGTATAGTTTTCTTTGTTCTCTTCTATTTGTCACCGTTGGCCCAGTAGAATTTTCCAGATATCTGGGCGGACATGTGTTGAATCATTCCTATTACATATTTTTGCAGTTGATTCGATAAACAAAGATTCTGTTATCAATCTTTCCCGCCACCCTGTGACATTAGATTAGATTTTAAAACTGTCATCCTATCCCATCCATCCTAGATTGTATGGTTATGCGTAACTGCATGTAGTGAGTGCTATAGCTGAACCATTCTCTAGATTTCTTATCGTATTCGGGTCAACCAATCTAGATTTTGCTAGGTTATTATGCTCGACTAGTCTGACTACCCCTGTTCTACTAGTTTGACCCATGTATTTAACCTGACAGTCATTCCAGCTGGGTACTAGATAAACTAGATTGTTTTGTTTTAAAGGCTCCACAGGATTGGCTGTGTAAAACCGATAAAGCTTGTTTCTAATTCAGTTTGCGGTTAGTTTCGATGCCAGCCAATTTTATTCCCACCTTATTAAGCATTCTGCGTAAGGTTCCCGAGGTTTCTCCCCTGGAGGGAATTACTACTGGTGATTTAGATTCCTTATTGTTGGTGTTGTCATTCATTATCTTGCACACGTTTGACATGCATGTCGTCATTAATATTACTATCATTATTATTATTATCACTATCACTACTATTATTATTTATTTTATTTTTACATTTCCCTACATATTTTCAGGCCAATTTGTCGGGATAATTATTAAGTTTCAAAACTTCTCTTATGTGCCTCACTTAATAATTATCCCGACAAATTGGCCTGAAAATATGTAGGGAAATGTAAAAATAAAATAAATAATAATAGTAGTGATAGTGATAATAATAATAATAATGATAGTAATATTAATGACGACATGCATGTCAAACGTGTGCAAGATAATGAATGACAACACCAACAATAAGGAATCTAAATCATCAGTAGTAATTCCCTCCAGGGGAGAAACCTCGGGAGCCTTACGCAGAATGCTTAATAAGGTGAGAATAAAATTGGCTGGCATTCAAACACACAAACTCAACACAGTTAAGGTATCTCGTTAACTCTGATTTAGATTATATTTACATTATCCGAACGATTAGTAATCTAGTTTACTCTTATTACTAATAGCATAGGGTCCTAGTGCCTGAATGTTCTACAACCGCGTCGACAAACCAGAAACTAATAGGTTTGAATCCCAGTGGATGTGCACTGCTCAAGAGCCTCAAAGAGTCCCCACACCTGACCTTACATCTGAAAGTTTCCTTTACCACAAGTTAATAAAACCGACGACTTCGGTGTCCATGGGGTAACACGGAGAAGATCGTGTGAAGAGGAGATGAGAGATTATGGATAGTTTTGGAACCAGCCAGAAGACGACTACAAGGAACAGGATGCAATGGAGATATCCTGTTGAAGCCTAATGTATCATTGCGAAATCAAGGGAATAATAACTAAATAATAGTAATAATAATAATAATACCACGTCTTATACAAACCAAAGGCTTACTGAATAATTGATTTTTCCCTCATTTGTAATGTTTTGGTTGAAATCTGCAGCAGATCAGACAGCTGCTCAGCACTAAACTCACTAGTTTGTACAGTAGTTTGACCACTGCCAAGTGTTGACATATCCGTGTTCACAGGCTTTGTTTGTTTAGACAGTCGAAATGACGGCAAGGATAAGGAGTTCTGTGTATCGCCAACTGATGAACTACACCGCGATAATATGCTTTCTCTCAGTCGATGCAATGGAAATGTATGATGGGGGATATTTTTTTGATAAATTGCATTGCTATCACCTTTATTCGAGACTGCATACATATTTTCAACTTAAAATGAAAGATAAATATTTCAATGTTCAGTTTGTTATGAAATCAGAATTAAATAAAAATTGGTCTAATCAATAATATTCAATCCGTTTACTGCTGAATCTTCATACAGACAGAGGTGACGATGCACGGGCATGACCAGTAACAACAATGTGTAATCATATAACTAATGCTCTGTGTGGTAATATAAATTACAGTCGTAAATACCTCGGACAGACTAATACAGATATTTTCAAAAATTGCTTTTCCTAAGGATTTAGATTCATTGGTTGGAGGATTTCATCCTGAGATGACATCGGTTAGAGAACCATTGGAAAATCTGCAGTGAGTACGGGACAGATCAGATGGACAGAAAAGATTAGCAACAGGGTAGGATTTCTGGGAGCGAACCAACCAGGAACCGACTGTGCAACAAATAGGCGGGAAGAAATGGAGGTGGATTGGTTTGGCTATCTCGTAGACTATTAAGCCACTGGGACTCGTCATCATCTCTAACTTTTGCCATGGTCTACGAGCTCGCCTTGTAACCAGAAGGCTATGGGTTCAAACTGCTGTGGTGCGTGCGTACTGATGTAAGGCCTGTCCTAAACTAGGACAACGGAAACAGCTGTCCAGCACTCCCAGCTGGTATTTAAGATAAGAAATAATAATTGTACATAGTTTATATATCGTGTTTCACACCTAGCTCTCAAATGTACACGCCTGAAAGCCAAAATGATATCCTTTAAGAGGATGCTGCATTTTTCCAATATTCACACATAAAACACAAAATAATTGAGTCTGTTGGGATCCATATTATTATTATTATCATATCCTTTAATTCCTAGAGGAATATACGGCTTGAGTGGCGTGTCTATTGCGTTCGGTATTCTGCCAACTTTTTCACCCCTCTCCAAGTCTGCCCACACGCTTTCATCTCCTCTACACATGACCTCCTCCAAGTCGCCCTCCCACTGACGACCAACTCACCGCTTCCCTTTCGGGTTCCACTCGAGTAATGGCTTGTCTAGTGATGTCACTTGATGGTTTCCTCAGAGTATGGCCAATCCAATCCACCTCCATTTCTTCCTGCCTATTTGTTGCACAATCGGTTTCTAGTTGGTTCGCTCCCAGAGATCTTAGCCTGCTGATCTTTTCTGTCCATCTGATCTTGAGCAGAGTTGAGAGAAGACAACTGTTAATGAAGGTCTGTAGTTTGTTTGAGGTGCTCCTCATGACAAGCCAAGTCTCTGATCCGTATAGTAGCACTGTCTTCACATTGGAGCTGAAAATCCGAATCCATACTAACAAGCCTAATTTGTGCACCCAAAAAAAGTTTGTTGGTTCATATATTATTCTCTCATCTAGGTTTGAATGATCCTCAAATTTTGTGGAAGTTCCCTAATTTTAAATGATATTTTATTTCCTATTATATCTTTATTATTATTATTATTATAGTTTAAGCATCTCACTTTATAAATCGATATCATTATAAAAAAACACTAATATTTAATTGGTGGATGGTGACTAGCAGTGGAATCTAGGATGCGAATTTCGTCCCATTTGGGATTCGTCCACCGGCTGGATGTACCTGCATTCCTCAGTGAGTAATGATGTTCCCACTGAGGCTCGAACCCTGTGCCCATAGTTTCAAACGCCAAAGCGTTTTCCACTAGACCACTTGGGCCACGAGAGCCACCTCTTGTGCAACGGGTCATATTAATTTAATTGAATTTTTGATTTTCCCGTCGATTGTTCGGACCGAAGTGCTCAGTATCAGGTTGACATGCCGGCTTCTTGTGCACATGCTTCGACGATGTCTGGGCATTGAATTAGTACTTAACTGGTGGATGGTGACTAGCAGTGAAGTCCAGGATACGGATTTCGTCCTCGGTGGGAACATCATCACTCACTGAGAAATGCAGGTACATTTAGCTGACGACTCGTAAATAAGACGAAATGCGCATCCTGGATTCCACTGCTAGTCACCATCCACCAATTAAATACTAACTAATTGTCCAGACATCGTCGGAGCATCTGCACAAGAAGCTGACATATCAACCTGAGACCGAGCACTTCGGTCCAATCAATCGACGAGAAAATCTGAAATTCAATTAAACACTAATATTGTTATTGACTACTATTCTAGAATATTGTATATATATATATATATATATATAATTGTAGGGGCAGAAGAGGAGGAAATTATCGAAAAGGGATTTTCTTAGTTCAATTATTTTGTTTTCTATGGGTATCTGAATGAATATTTACACATAAAACAAAATTAAGAAATGTATCTGGCATAACTAGCCTCCATCTACCTAAACTGATCCTCAACCAATCCATTAGATCCTTCCATAAGTGTTGTGATATGACGCTTAGGATCATTTCAACTGAATTCGGCAGATGCTTTTTAACAACACTGACTTTTGAATGAGAAGTGCCTAAACCGGTGGTTGTTTTGTTACTCTCTGAAATTTTAATGTTGCTTGATGACTGTGCCACAACCTCAGATAATACAGTGTATCTTTTATTACACTCGTTTGCCTGTTCTTTGTGTTTGTGCTTGTGATGTTCGTGCTGAGGCTGCTGACTGTGATGGTTACTTCGATGTTGATGCTTGTTATCCAGCTGTTCTTTGGAGATTGATTTTCTTCTATCACTAACTGATGACTTATCCTGATGCTGTTGACGCTTTTGTTCAAATGATGGTGTTCTATTTCTTCGTTCTACACTGTTCATTGGTCTTTCATCAGTAAAATGCAAGAAAACAAAAGTAAACCAAAATTTAATAGTTCAAGCTGAAGAATATAAAAAAGAACAATAGAATTTACTGAATTCTGTGAATATCACATTAACAAACGATTTATTTATTATTCAGATATCTGATCACTGTTTGGCTAAATAAAAGTAATATTTAGTAAAGGGTTACGGTTGTGTATGGCATGCGTGAGGGGTGGGCGGCGCTGTAACTATGCGCATATATATGCTTTACAATCAACCGAGATAAAGAGATTTGAGTCAATATGGTCAACAACATTTTCTGAAAATAAGTTTTCTGTACTGCATGTCACACACGTTTTGATGTGGTTGTGTTCTCTGAGCTCGATAGTTAATTTGCAAAGCTTTTATCGCCCTACTAGTCGGCGTCCGCTTCGTCTTTGTATCCATGATCATAAGCTGGCCGTTAAAAGACATGACATCCACTCCCTCATATCGCCTCACTACATACAGACAACCATGAACATCAATTCGACTGGGACAACAAACGTTCAACTATTAAACAGAGGAAACAACAAGAATGCTAGAGAATTTTTAGACGGCTGCCTGGTATTCCAGTGAATCATCAATCAATAGACACCTCGAAATAGACAAATTTACCAAACGATAAGAAGGAAACCTCATTCACAAGAGGGTCAAAGTTCAAGTTAAGGAAACAATCAGTTCTAATACAAATAGCCTAGATGGTGTGAGAACACACAAAAACAACCAATCACATTCAATGTCATGAGGAGATATGATTAATACACTCGTGTAGAAATCTAAAATCTCACTTCAAATTGAAGTATGCACTGAAGATGTCGCCTAGTAGGGCGATGAAAGCTTCACAAATTGACTATCCAGCTGAGAGAACACAACCACATGAAAATCATCCACCTGAGCTACAAATCTTCTCCATCATATCTAAGTCACACACTGTAAAATAAATTATTATTCACTCGCATGAATTCGTCACTAAGGCGTATACATCTAAAGTGATCACCGGGTGACATCACAAACCAAGTCCTGGAGTGGAGCATCAATGTAGAAAGATGAGTTTGAAAGCCGGTGGAGAAAAAAAGGCGAATGTGAGAGGAGGAAATGAATGCTCATGGATGATTGTGGAGCCAGCAGATAAAAAGGCCTACAGAGAATGAGTGAAATGAAGGTGCGCTGCTAAAAGCCCTATGTTCAACTTGGAAGACAGGGGAATAAAAGTATAATTGTAGAGCGAATTTCGGAATCCGAACACGTAAACGTTATTCGTTTGTATTGCCTTATTTATTTTTATAATGGCAAACTTTGTCTGACTGTACTAATGCACCACTGATTTACCTGGGTTTATCATTTTACTTCTGTTTAACGGTTCTTATGTTCACTGAAAATACTCATTGAGTCGTGATTAAAATAAAAAACAGATTCGGAGAAGAAAATTTTCTTTATCGACGAAATCATCTTCACAGGCTGTACAGTCGTATTTATACTTACCCAAACATATATAGTGGTCTATTATTGAGTAATAGGGGGTGATATAATTGATATAATTACTCAGAAGTGGCTTCAGAAGTAAAAGTTGTAAATTACGTGGTACTCAACGGCACAAAGATAGAAATTTCATAAGGTTAAAATTGCTATTGAGTGAGAATAAAGGTGGTAGTTGAGTGTCAATTTAACAAGTGTGAACAGGGTGTGAAAATGTACAAAAGGAACATTTGAGAGTGATAATAGTGAATTAATTATTACAGCAAAAGCAAACTAATAGTAAAATTAAAAAAGAAAAGAAAAAATCAATCTTTTTTACAGGGAACGATTAGTGAAGAGGTTAAGACCGCGGTAGAATAAGAGACTGGACAAACTTTTTCTGTATACAGAGTTCACGGTTGCATTGACGAATTACCAGCGCCTCCACCATACACAGAAGCCGAAACTTGACGCCCTTTGTACCATTTGGCTTCACTTTGTAGATGATCTTGAAAGACGACTCTGGTGGAGCTACGTGGCCTGAGTTCACCAAATGCTCGAGAATTGAGCTAGTAACTATCTTGCATTGTCCCTTTGCTACCACGCCGGATAATGTTCAGAGATGCGTTTGGAAAGCGTGCGCTTTGTACGGGCGGCCAATATAACTAGCTTTACACGAACAGGTGAATTTATAAACACACATTGAGGTGGCCCAAAGTGGCAGTTTATATTTCACACATCCATTGATCATTTGTCGGCTGTAGAAATTGATACGTTTCTCAGCCATAAAGAAGGCTTTCCTCAGTGATCTGCATAAGCGATTCTTCAGGATCTCAGCTGCGGTATCACCTTTAAATTCAACACTCATAAATAGCAGTTTCTTCGCCACTATCTGGATTCTTTCAGGCTTTTCCCTTTACTTCATGTTTTTCTCTGTAAATCTCGGAGGATATCCACTTTTTATGTAGACGTGTCTGAGTCGACCCCGTTCACCAACGATTGTATCACTGGAACACATGTTCTTATGTTTGTCTGTATAATAGAGAAGATTTGTAGCTCAGGTGGATGATTTTGATGTCGTTGTGTTCTCAGAGCTGGATGGTTTATTTGCGAAGCTTTCATTGCCCCCACTACGTAACATCTTCAGTGTACACTTTTATTTGACTTCAAACTGAAGGCAGCGAGAAACTTTGAACCTCATTTACAAAAGTTTACTGCTGTTACTGTCTGTTATATCTGAATACTTAGAATAAATTGAACACTTTAACCGGATGTTTTGAAGGGGCTGTTTGTATAAAGCACACTAAGTGAGTCAAGAGTTTTAAAGGTGAAACTCAAGTCTCACTAGTTCACTGCAAATGCATCGATATTCGACGCACTCCTCCGCATAGTTAAATATTATGTTACTTCCAGACAATTTTGGCCTTTTAGAAATTTCCGGTTCTCGGTGAGGATCATTTGAATGCTTGGACTCAAAGGGGGAAAAATTCCTTCTAAAGATATCTCAATGATAATAAAAAAAAGTCATTTAAACTGTTTCAACAGAAAGCGATTTGCACTCTGCTCAACAGGAGGATCAATTCAGTTAACCTTCACTGCACTGACAGATTGCTTATTCGTTTATTCTTGTGAGGCCGGCTTAATCGAATCGGTAAAATTTTATACAGTGGTATAGCGAAGTATTTATCCCGTCGCCTGTTTCTATAGCTAGACCCCAATTAGTTTTCTGTACACGTAACATAAACTGATTTTCAATTAGATCTGCTTCAGGCTTTACTCTAATTTACATAGATATATATATATATATATATATATATATATAAGTCTATGTAAATTAGAGTAAAGCCTGAAGAAGATCTAATTGAAAACAACAATATTGTTCGCTTATATGTCTTGTTCTAATACAATAAATGGGAATATTTAAAGATAAACTGATTTATCAATAAAAGCATTTTAAACTGGTCACTAACGCAGTTTCAAAGAAAAGCACCCTTAAGAATCAGTAATTTAAAAATTGCCTCCCTGAATCACAGTGTAAGACCTTCTTTGTAGTGAAACTTCAGTTGACCTTTGCCAGCCGGAAGTTCTTCTCCACTTTTGTAAAAGATAAGCTCAGTTGTTTGGCTGCCTCCATTTGCATCAATCAGGTGAGGCTATGTACATTGATCGTAGCTAGAGAGCACTTTCAAGAAGGGTACGACAGCGAATCCAACAGTCGTTTTACAAGGGAACAAACACAGGTACTATGCTTTACCCATTTCTTCCAATCAACCAGTCTTGACTATGATTTTGAGATCATCCATCGAATTTATGCTAAATTATCGCGTATTCTTCTTTCTAAACTTCTACAGACAGTGGAGGTCTTCGCCACTCATGAATTCAAGCAAGACCTTTATGTACAAAGGAAGTACGAGGAGTGATTGTTTACACCTTGGCCGTGGAGGGACATACCCATTTATTTTTCGTTTTGTTTATTTAATTTATATACCTTTCCATTATTTCTACGATTGTCATTGTTATTACTGTTATTCTTATTATTCTTACACTGAACTGTTTCCGTTACCATTTAACCTGTCACATTTGTTATTTTAAACCCAAATCTTTTTTAAAATGTTACATCCTATCTTACCAAACTTTACAATACGTTACGTAGTGTTTTTATTTTACTGCTAACCCTACTGATTGTACAACGCTTTCCAAAGTCTATGCGCCAGGCGAGTTATCACTATTGTTAGGTAATTTATTATATGGCTTGATAGTCAACTGTGATTATAGTCACAAGCATTTTATCATATTACTATGATAAAATATTCACACCTTTTTCTCAAATTCCGCCATGGGATGTAGTTTCTCAAAAACCAAATATGTATATGGTTGTAGAGTTTAATAATGAATCCGCGGAATAATGAGTTTTAAATATTACAATGAGAATTATTCACTTATGCTTAATTACAAAACGATTGAGCAAAGAATATCCTTTTCGATAATTTCCTACTCTTCTGGCTCTAAAATTATATATACGTTCATATATATAGAAAATTCTTTGAAGGATGTTATTAATGAACTTGAATTCTATTGTCGGCACATGGATGATACAATTTTGATTATGAAAAATGAGAAGGAAACAAAGAACATCCTGGATAAATTTAACGAGGTTCATCCTGCAATAAATTTCACTATTGAGAAAGGGAAACAGAAAGACTCTAGTATTTCATTTCTGGACATCTTTATTACCAGAAAAGAGGATGGCAAAATAAGTAGAAGTGCATATAGAAAACCTACATCAACGGGTCACTATACTCATTTTCTCAGCTTTGTGCCCTTGAAATACGAACGCTTGGTTCACAGAGCAAGAGCGATTTGCTTGGATGAATGTCTTGATGAGGAACTTAATAATATTACATGGTTGCTAAGTGAAGATTGTTATCCAGAAAAGTTTATTGACAAGAATATGAATCTAAAATCAAAGCAGCCCAAGGTACCGACAGTTCCCAATAAAGCCTTGTTCTTACAAATGCAGTTCTTTGGGGACAACATCAACCAGATACAAACACAGCAACTTCGAAATGCGGTAAAAAGATCATTCCCTGCTGCTGAATTACGCTGTATCTTCAAAACCACTCCATTTTTGCGTCCGAGAGGAAAAGACAAACTGCCTAGTTTCGCCTTTTCCATGTGTATCTACCAATTTAACTGCTCCTGTGGAGTGAGCCAGTTACATAGGCAGTACAATTAGGCGTGTTTCTCGTCATATTTCCGAACATCACCCTGTATGGTTAACTAAAGGACAAACAAAATCTATTCACATAGCGCTATTCTATCTCATCTTGTGGATACAGAACACAAGATTGATGTTAACCATGCTTTCGGGGTCATTTACCGCATACCTACGAATCTTAACTTCCGCCTTAGGAGTTCGTTTACTAAATGTTGCTGAGGCTGGCCATTGGGATCCATATTAAGAAGCCTAATTTGTGCATCCAAAAGAAGTTAGTTCAGACATTATCTTTACCTTGGCCACCTAGGTTTCAATGATCCTCAATTTTTGTGGAATTTCCTTAATTTTAGTTGATATTCTCTTTGCTACTATATCTTTCTTCTTCTTCTTATACTTTAAGCATTTTTAGTGAACTGTAATTGCATTGTGATCATACCTTACAAATCGATATTATTTTAAAAAAACACTAATATTGCTATTGACTACTATTCTAGAATATTCTGTGTATATAAACATATATAACTATAATTGTAGAGCCAGAAGAGGAGGAAATTATCGAAAAGGATATTCTTTGGTCAATTATTTTGTGTTTTATAGATGCCTGAATGAATATCTTCGCTTTATATTTAATTGTCTGAAATCTATAGAATGAAGCTGACATATAGATACAGTTAAAGAAATTATCTTAATTTAAGAGGAAAAGAAATACTTTAGCTACTAGCGTCAATAGGTTTCTCGGCATTTCAATGTTAGAATGATCACCAGCCGTATGGCCCATCAGTGTCTGACTGACACAAATCCAAAGCTCAGTTAAACCTCGCAAAGCTTACCAGATACATCAGCAAACTCCACAAAGAGGAAGGTTTAGCGTAGGGATTAGATAAATGAAAAGGAAATAATCTACGCGGTGAAGAAAACTTCCATTTTTACTCCAATACAATTAACAGAAGAACGTAGATTCGTGTCAAATCTAAAAAAGTTAGACTTTTAACAACAACAAAAAAAACATTTGCGCGCGCATTGATCATTTCTGATTGGTTAGTTGATAATTGGACTTATTGATTTCTTGTAGTAGTAGTTACCATGATTATTGTTAGTACTATTTATATTTCTGTCATTACGAGAGTCAAATATGTACTTTAAGGTGGGTGAATCAATTAAAAGTTGAGAAAAATAAGAAAAAATAATAATAATGATGATAATAACAATAATAATGGGATACAATCACGTCTTCAATTCTCATTGTCTATAGGTAGAAAAAATTATGGATTTGTTAGAGTTGTGAACAAGAAGAGTTTCAAGAAAACTATAATTATTGTTATCTTTAACTATTTCCACAAATTTACTAGTATGTTTCGTATTCAACTTGACAGTTTAAACTCTATGACATATTTTTACACAGCGAGGAAAGATACGCTTTTAGATAAGGCATCGTCAACTTTAAGATTATTGTTTGTTCTTATCATGCAGAAGGATGATGACTAAAGGTAGCTCTTCAGGTGAAAGCGCTCAGCTTAGTTTTAATGTCTACAACACAGCAGTTCAAATCTTTTCCTTCGTGCAAAATGTATTTATTATTATTGTTGTTTTCTTCAGTTCCTATAGGAATATACGGCTTCAGCCGAACGTCTCCATTGCGTTCGGTTCTCCGCCAGCGTTTTCACATGGCTATACGTCTGCCAGCATGCTTTCATCTCCTCTTCGCAACACCTCCTCCACGTTACACCCTCACGCTGACCACACCAACTCGCCACTTCCCATTCGGCTGCCACTCAAGTGATGGTCTGGCGTGTGATGTCACTCACTTGATGGTTTGTTTCCTCAGAGTATGCCCAGTCAATCTCCATTTCTTCTTGCCTATTTGTTGCACGATTGGTTCTTGCTGGGTTGGTTCGCTCAGTGCCAGAAATCCCTCCCTGTTGCTGATCTTCTCTGGCCGGCCATCTGATCTTGAGTATTGAGCGAAGACAACTGTTAATGAAAGTCTGTAGTTTGTTTGAGATGCTCTTTATGACGCGCTGGCCAAGTCTCTGATCCGTATGTTAAGTAGCACTGATTTCACATTGGAGTTGAGAATTCGGATCTTATTTTTCATTCTGAGTGCTATTGTTCTCCACACAGACTTGAGAGTAATGAAAGCTTGTCTTGCTTATGCGACCCTCGCTTTGACATCCTCATCAGTTCCAACCGCCTGTAGTTGAAACGATGCTTCCAAAGTCGGTAGATAGGTAGGTAAGGGAGGTTTCTTCCCTCAGATTTCTCCCATTTATGCTGGCTGATTGTTGTCTGTTGTTGTAGCTGTTGGCGAGCAATCTTCCCCACCTCTGTTCCCCTTATGTTAACCTGAAGTCCCTCCTATCTTTGATGCTTCTTCTACCAACTTGTGGATTTTCACTTGCATATCTTCCAGTTTGTGGGAAATCAGACATATATCATAGATGAAGTCCATACCCTGCAAGATTTTTGTGTATGTCCATTTTATGCCTGTTTCCTCGTTTCCCGCTGTCTGTTGCATCATCTAGTCCACCATAGTCAAGAAAACCGTTGGAGATAGTAGGCACCCAACTTGTCTTACACTCGTATTCACTTCCAAAGATTCCGTGAGTTTACGGCTGGTATTATTTCAAATGCAATATTATTGCATATATATATATATATATATACATATATAATGCATTTCAACTCAGGAAAAGCTACTAAGGGAATATTATCGTAGAGTTTCATCAGTTTCACCGGAGATGCTGAAGGGAATTCGATCACATATCATAACTCTAAAATAAGTTTATATCAAATACTGTCACAAAAATGACATTGTTATACAATACTGTTTCAATATGAACTATTCTTCCACGTCTTATGAAAGAAAGTAATGTAGACTCACAGGTTTTTCTGTTGACTATCAATTAAAAGTTCTTCATAATTCCCATCCATAGCAAAGATCTCTTCGTCCATGTAGTTGGCGTTTACTGTTATAGCTGATTGAGAATTTGTCATTCTATTTCTGTAGAAAAAATAAAAGAATGAATTTATCTGGCATAGTCCATCATCATTCCCTAACTGCACCTCGATAAAAAACTACTCTCAACCTCTACAACTTTAAGTTATTCCCTCAAAATTCGTCAAACAAAATACGGATATACACATGATGGGTGACACTTCTATCATATTAAACAGCTTTACTTTTTGTTTCTTTTGATTACAGGATTGATCAAGAGGCTGATATCAGTTAGAGGACCACTGAGAAACCTGGTGGTAGTACTGGACAGCTGTTTCGTCCTAGTTTGGGACTCTTCACAGTGCGGACTCACTGAGGTTTGGACTCAAGATCTTCCTGTTACGAGGTAAACTCATATGCAGTTCAGCCAATGGGACTCAATTCAACCGCACATGAATTCCAGCTTCCACCGATTGGCAATATATTTAGTGTAACCACCTTTAGACCATTGAATTGGATCTCCGTGGCTGAATCGTCTATCAGCATGCCTCATAACCGGAAGGTCCTAGGTCCAACCCCCCGGGGGTGTGCAGTGATGAAGAGTCTCAAACCAGGACGGAACAGCTGTCCAGTACTTTCAAGTTTCCTAGTGGTTCTTTAACTGATATCACGTCGTGATCAATTCTTTAACCGATCAAATCCTTACCAAACAATATTTTGTTTCTTTACCTTGTGTCACTCCACGACCTACAGTGCTGCTATTTCATTTCTTCGACTGCCGTTTATTGCTTTCCAGTTGTCGTCCAGATATAGATTAGGGTAAATCTGACTATCAGGTATTAATATAAGTCCATGTGTTCACGGTAACTCAAAGCAACTGGATATCCCCCTTGAAATCCCAACTTAGGTTAAAATTCCTAACGATATACATGCAACTGATGGGAATACTTATTGACGAAGTAAGTGAATTACTCTCAATCATAGTTCAATGCCTATTTATGGAATGAAAAGTAGGAAATCATATAATTCCAAATAAGGTTCTTTAAATATTTTCTAGATAATTTATTCTCACATAAAAATCTCCTCGTATTTATCTACACATCTAATATCAACAGATCAATGTGCACACCGATGGTGAGTCACTATGTGATGGAATTCAGTCTGCACCAAACAAAGGAGTGCATACACTACACTAGTTAGTTACTAGTGTCCAATCAAAGTATCCAATACAGTCCGCACGGGAGGTCAATAGTGAGCCCGAATATCTCCGTAGTACCGGTATCTGACTGCAGCACTCGATGACGCGGGTTTGGATATCAGAAGGGAGATGAATCCCCTCAATCCTTCAAACAAGGCTGTATATATGCCTTGCTGACTGGTGAGTGCCAACTAGCACGAAAATTAGGTCAGACTTGGCTTCCTGTGGCCGATTGCCTCAAACACATCTAATATGATTAATAATATCACTATATAATAAGGTATTGGTAAACAATGGTGTGGAAAGGTAAATAAGCAATACGACTTTCGCTTAACAAAACGTGTACTCTTCACAACATTAACCTATTACTTAAAACTTGTAAAATTACTACAGTTGTTGATGGGAAATGCTAAAGTGAAAATGACAAAATGGAATCCTGAAGGCTGTCATCTCAAAAAATTTTTCGATGTAGAAAAATTTTCCATTTGAAATTAAACTGGTACATAAACCAGTTAAATGAATGCCTAGTCGACAATGAAAGTTAAACGGTCTATTGTCAATTGAAGATAAAATAAATGCAATTCGCAGAATCAACTGCTAACATAATTGGGCAACACTTTTTTGGCCAATCCAATTACCGAAATGACCAGGTGGGAAAACATTGCTCTGAAAATATGTTGGAGATAGGTGGATGACACTTTCACAGTGTTAAAAACAGAACATATCTTTAGCTTCTTGACACATATAAACCCAATAGTGGAGGGAATAAAATTCACATTTGAATCGGAAAATGAACAAGGAGAATTAGCTGTGATGTTAGAGTGTAAAATAAAACGAATAGAAGAAGGTAAACTGCACATTAGTGTGTACAGAAAAACCAACTCATTCTAATAGATACTTAGACTTTAATTCATTTCATCCGTTAACTGTTAAGGCAGGCTTAGTTAAGTTAAGTGTCTAACAAACCGAGTAGTAGCACTAACTAGTAGAGGAAAAGACCTAAATGATGAAATAAAACAGATGGAAGAAGCACTGGCATCAAATAACTATCCTATAAAATTCACTAGGAAGATCAGAAAAGGTGAAAAGCAAAATAAAAATAATAGGGAAACTAATAATGATAACACAAGTAAGAGAGAATATAAGCAATCTACACTTCTACCATATAAGGAGAGGACATCTGAAACCCTCCGTATGTAGGATTCTTAATAGAGCAGGAATTAGAGTGGTGTCATTTAAACCTACAAACTCACTCAGGGACAAGCACTGTAAGCCAAAAGACCCAGTGGACCCAATTAAACAAAATAATATAATTTACAAAATACCTTGCAATAACTGTGAGTTAAGTCAACTACATAAGTGAAACTGTTAGATCTAGGGTAGTCAGATTTTCGGAGCATAAAAATCTAGCTAAGGTTAGAATGATTGACCCCACCCGTGACGATAAGTAATTTAGAAAAAAGCTCAACACTACATTGCACTTCATGCATTAGCACACAACCACACAATATGGTGGTGGGAAAGGGTTAAAAGCCTAAGAGGTAATATAGGTAGGTGGAGAGAGTGGTTGATTTCTGAATCTTTGTTCATCCAGTCTCCACCTTACACGTGCAGTAGGAATGACTCATCACTCATACGCGGGATACATGGTAAATACCACTACTACAAATCATCAAACCAAGCGATGAAAAATAATGGAATTATATAAATGAAGTTAGAGATCTGTGTAACTTGATATGATTATAAGGTGTAATAAATTGTGCTTGAAACTTTGTCATCAGTGTAAGTACTACTGTAAAACAGTGTGAGACTTTATCAAAACAAATTTTACCCACAATGGAATTATACTCTACCACAGTGCAGAAGTTCTATGATTATATTAGTGATCAAAGGAACATGTCTATCTCTACTAGTATGGTGGTGTGATACAGACAATGTGTGCCAACTGAATGCTATTCTCACATGTTCCCACAGTTCAATTTGGCATTAGAACACAATACGAGATATCTATTCGAACATTGTATTTTACGTTAGAGTAGGAATGTTATGCCCACAATTTAATACTGCATACCATATATATATATGTAAATTCCAACATCTTATTTGAAATAAGTGACAGAATGCTTTCTCACAGTTCAATACTGAATTGGTAATAGAATACTATGTATATTTGAACATTCTATTTTTTGTCGTTTGATGTAAACCAAAGTCACACGCTCATTGATTGGTTAACGTATATAAACTGTAGATACATAAATGACAGTTTGATTAATGAAAAATATACCTTGGCTTCCGTGTCTTGTCCTCTGTTGTTACACTAGTGAGAAAACACGACGGTTCATGTTTAATCTCAAGTACAATTATGACTGATAAAATATTGCGATGCAAGCCTAAACAGAGCATTGGGACCTCTAGAAGTCTTATGATTCAAAAGGAACTTGAAATCATGTATCCCTTCTTCATGGATGATTTAGCACTAAAGATATCATCCAGTCTGGTTATGATGATTCCATGATTACTTGGCTAAGTAAAATATGCATCTTATTGTAACAAAACGACAATCTACACCATTTTTAAGATTTTTTATTAGTTACAAAGATAATACAACTAATGAAAAAATTATCGTGAATAGGCTTACAGTGTATCACTTGATTCCGTCTCACTGACTGTCTGCCCACAGATAGCCATAGATTTATCCGTTATACACGATACGTCAGTGCATTTAGAGCAATCTAGGAGTGCAAGATAAATTTGAATAGACATCTAGTTGAATTTCTGCATTTAAAAATGACGTAAAATAAACTTATAATAATATAACGAATCGTTTGATGGTGAAATACAAATATTTTTGAGAGTAGATACCGCTTCACCGTGCATTTCTTGAAGTCTAGCTTGAAATCAGTGGAATATGTAGATATGTCATGCTTCCTTCAATCTAGTTGTACACCTGTCGTAATCTGACACGGCTTCGAATCTGAGAAGGGATATAAATCCCTCCAAGGTTGCAGATACGTCCTGCTGACTGGTGAGTGCCAACCAACACGAAACCTAGGTCAGGCTGCGGGCTCTCTGCGGCCGATTACCTACAACTGTCTAATAGGTGTTATAATATTTAAAACGTGGTTTACACTAACAAGACATAACCACATAAAAAGACCCATTTGTCGATTTATTTAATAACAATAATAATTTGCTTTATTCCAAAACAGTACTTGTGATACAGAATGGAATTCTCAACATTTCACTACAGTATCGCATCCAGTTAGTACATTTGTAACAACAGAAGACAGGGGCCAGGCAACAGATCGTCTTATTACGGAAATCAACACATATTTATATAAATTTCACATACATTATTATAGCTTAGTCAAGTAGACAAACGCAGTCTTCTGATTGGTTGTTTTCGAGTTCCTCGGAAAGTGGAGCCATCTATCTGCGAATTGCATTTTTGCCCACGTTTAAGTTTGCTGTGATTGGTTTTTGAAACAGCCTCGTTCATATTTCCTCACCGCCCATATTAGTGACCTAGACACTGACGTAGATTAATGTCAACCAATTGGCTAGCAGGCTGCTCTCACCACACATTAACACCAAATAAAATTCAACATAGATTATGGTCAATCTCAGTTAGCTTTGTCAACAACACATTGGCATGTCGGTAGCAGAACCAAAATTAAACAGAGTGTCTGAAGGTGTTAGAAAAGTAGATGCTAGCATATTTACTGGCGTAAGCGGTAACAAAAAGATCGAGAAATACAGAGTGTGAAAGAACGAAGAAGAATGTATGAGGTAGAGCTTACAAGGAATAGGGAAAGAAACCAGCACATAACAAAAATAAAAAAGAGATGCAGAGAAAAGGATAAGAAATAAATAAAACGTTGTAACTATAAATGATATGAGTTGGAAAGACGAAATCCAGTTGTTCTACTGACTATTTAATAAGTTAAAGGTTTCACGCCTAATGCTTTCTTTATCGCACAGAACACGAGCTAAGTAGGGTATGGTTGAGTTTTGTACTTGCTAGTGCGAGCATATAATTTTCTATATAGGCTTCTGCTTTTGCCTGATAAGATGTAAGGGGAGAGTTGTGAATGAAGAGAGTGGTGTGAGTTAAATAGAATGGATTTAGTCCATTTTTCACATGAGTCCATGTGCCTATCCACCAGAATATTAACAAGCTGGTTGGTTAAGTGGCACGTATCTTACCCTGCTGACAATTTTTAACATCCTGCGTAATAAGATATAGTCTTTCTTCAGTAGCCCTGGAAAAATTAAGGGGGAACAATAGAGAATAATAGGCAGGATGCAAGAGTTAACGAATCGTAGGAGTAAGGGTTGGGTTATTCCAGAATGTCTTAACTTTTTGATGTAGAAGGTAAGAGGGAATATTTTCTTAGAAATCATCAAGATATGAGACGACCAGGAAAGGTCAACAGACAGAATGATTCCAAGATATTTAATTTCCGACTTGTTTTCTATTTCCACACTTGTCTTAATTGCCTAGTGAATGGAAATAAAACAGAATAAAAAATTACCACACCTTGAAAACCTTATTGTTTTCGAATGCAATTATGAGAGGATTGAAACAGTTAGATTCACCTAACAAACTTATGAAAAAAATCCATGTTTAAAAAGGTAATTACAAGCACTCTTTAGACGAAAATACAAAAGAGGGAAATTTATTTTTGATTCTAAATTCAACAGTATATTTTTTGCAATACGAAAATTTTTTAACTGAACAATTATTTGTGCGACACACCTAAGACGATATCTGTTATTAGACAATTTAATGAATTTCCAGCTTCATTTGAGTAATTTCGTTACACATTTAAGCAAAATCAACGTCATAGTATGACAACGGAAGACAAGGGGCGAGGCACACAAACACATTCTTCTGATTGGTGGTTTCTCGTTGAACGTTAGTCCTTCATCCATTTCTGGCAGTTTATTGAAGTTCAGATTATCTATTTGCAAATTGTATCCACCTACGCAAAGTTTGCTTTGATTGGTTGTTGAATCAGTCTTTGTTTTTATTTTTCTCACTACCAATATTTGGGACGTAAGTTGCTGTCTACCAATTTGGCCAGCAGCCGGCTCTCATCACAGTAGTACTTTCTTTCCCCTTTTTTGAATTGATGAGGAAATTTTGTCATGAGCCTAAAAGAAGCTGATGAGCTACTGAAAGTGGAGCAGTACTGCACATCTTTTGCATTGCAGTAGAACAACTGGATTTCGTCTTTCCAACTCATATCATTTATAGTTACGTTTTATTTATTTCTTATCCTTTTCTCTGCATCTCTTTTTTATTTTTGTTATGTGCTGGTTTCTTTCCCTATTCCTTGTAAGCTCTACCTCATACATTCTTCTTCGTTCTTTCACACTCTGTATTTCTCGATCTTTTTGTTACCGCTTACGCCAGTAAATATGCTAGCATCTACTTTTCTAACACCTTCAGACACTCTGTTTAATTTTGGTTCTGCTACCGACATGCCAATGTGTTGTTGACAAAGCTAACTGAGATTGACCATAATCTATGTTGAATTTTATTTGGTGTTAATGTACTAACTGGATGCGATACTGTAGTGAAATGTTGAGAATTCCATTCTGTAACCCAAGTACTGTTTTGGAATAAAGCAAATTTTTATTATTATTATTATTATTATTATTGATGGTGACTAGTAGTGGTATCTTAAATGCACTTCTCGTCTTGTTTGATTCTCAGCCGGATTTACCCCATATTCTAAGTGAGAGAAGGCGTTTCCACTGAGACTGAAATTCTCCTACACCAATCGTTGGAAACGCTAAAGCACTAGACACTAACCCATGAGGTAGGTCCATATTAATTCTTAGACATCTTCGAAGAGTTCGTACTAGCAGCCAACACGTCAATAGAAAGCTAACATTCGGTCCAACATAGTCAATCGACGGTAAGTGCAAAATTTACTGAAAACACAAGTGTTGGACATTTATTTCATTCGGACTTAGTAAAGGTCAGCAGTAGGCGAATGCAAGCAAATATGCCGTCGTGAATGGAGAAGCCAGTGTGTTTTATGCCCGCTACTTACTTTTTGCGTATTTAAACCAATATATGACATAATAAGAAACTTTCTATGAATATTTTATAATAAAATCAGTGTAAAAGCAACAAGTATAGCATACAGTTAAGGGACTTTGCCTCGTTGTCATTATTTTTTAACGAACCACCTCTCGTCTTAATCACAACCGAATAACTATGAAGTCTTCGTCTATGGTCATCTAAGTATCACCGTTCTGTGAAGCAGTTTACGTCAGTTAAGTTGGCTTGGTGCGTAATTTCATTAAAATGTATGGAAGTGAAAAACACCAGCAGCCCATAGGGGCATTGATCTCAGGATTGTATGAATGGCACATAGAATCTATTTTATATATTCAGTTTTCATCAGCGAGACGAAGGAGACTAGAGACACTGGAGAATATCATCTACACTCACAGAAGTATGCAAAAGTCAATGGTAATTCATAAGACACAACCAATGAACATCACCTGATTATTAAGGGTTTCTTAAGTAAAAAAAAATATTTATAGGATTTCATCATGAGCTGACATCGGTTTGAGAACCATTAAAAACCTGCATGGAGTACTGCACAACTGTTTCGCTCTAGTTTGGGATTCTTCAGAAGTACGCACCCACACTACGGGGTTCAAACCCAGGACCTTCTGGTTACAAGGCTAGCGAGCTGGTAGACCACTAAGCCACTGGGACCCGATCCGATGGCCCATGAATTCTAACTTCTGAAAATTCACGACATAGCGCGACCACTAGCCAATGTCTTCCACAAGTAATCGTCCTCACACTCGATCTTCTGCACCCTACTGGTGACGACTTTTCACTAGAACCCAAGGTAACTACCTACCTGAATAGAGCAAGTCGCTAGTGAGCATCTCATTGATATTCAAGTGTTGGTTTGTAAGGATTTGATTGGTTCCAGGATTTCGTCATGAGCTGACATTGGTTGGAGAATCACTGGAAAACCTCGGAGTACTGGACAGCTGTTTAGTCCTAGTTTGGGACTCTTGAAAAAAATATATCTCAGCTGGTAACAGTGTACTTTTAATCAGAGTAAAAGGAAATAGAACGCAGGCCTCTGAAGTTTGCAATCCATTATGTTTCATATTGTCATGGACAAACATTCATCAAAATGTTCTTCTGTTGGTTATTGCATTTCTAAACTTTATAACTGTTATGAAATTATCGAATAAACACTAGTGTATAAAAATAAAAGTAATGCACGCTTGCGATACAACATTGGGATTACCTGACTGTCCAGCACACGTTGTAGACTTGAAGCCCTCTGAGGCGACTATCTGTTTACCGACAACACGTAAATGCGGAAATCTGGATAACCAATCTTTACATTCATAGAACAAATGGTCTTGAATCCCACTTGGATTGTCAAGATGTTGGACGTATTGGAAAGCTAATGGGAAGGGAACACAGTTGCAAACACGGTAAGCAATGAACAAGAAAATTATTGGATTACACCTAAGACAAGTTTGTTTATGTCACACAGTAGTGCAGCATTATTAACTGGATCATATATTGGGCAAACTTTACTGATCATAGTAAACACAGTGAATTTACACAACTTTCTTACTTGCTTTATGCATGATTATGGGAGATGAGTTGTGCCCGAAACGTTATATATATATACATATATATGGTATGGAACAGGGGACTTCGAAGTTGAGCTCTGAAGTATTTTTACGGAGTGCATTTGAAAGCCTCACCCCACGCTTCTCTTGGCGCAGATAAATGAATTCAAGGAGAGCACCAACCAGAGATCGAACTTGGAGCACATGTCTGCTTGGTGATATATGAAATAAGCTTATTTAATAATATATGGAATTATTACCTACTGCAGTAATAAACAAATACTATCATTTTGAGAAATCATGCTTGTGTAAATGTTTTTCCTTTTTTTGATTTAGAAACATCCTGTCAGCTTCACTGTGACTTTAGGTGATTGTGTGTGGGTGCATTTATTTAACTATGTTTATATGTAAGGCTTCATTTGTAAAACTGATCCATTGTCTGTCTGTTTTCGACATAGACCTTTGCACTGATGTGCGGCAGTCCAAGTCACCACACTCCATATAGGATATAAGGCAAGAGAAGATAGTAGAAGAAATGCATAATAGAGACAGTAAACAAAGGTGTGAGACAAAGAAATAGAAGTAACGAAGAACAATGTAGTTTCATTGAAAATCAAAAGTTACAAGGAGTGGATGCATCTGCGCCAGCCAGTGAGAACGATTTTGAGCCATATCACCGATTGTCTCCAGCCATTGGTGTTGACCGTGCCGAGAACTCTGAGCAGGAAGTCTACACCTTCCTACGTGGCTTAAACTAACTCCCTATTTCTAAACTAGGAGTCAGTGTAGTCCAGTCCTCTGACATCATCTTACATTTCACGGAGGGAGAAAATCGCATGCCAAACATTCGTAGATTGCAGCTCAAGGTTTTCAAAAGACCCTGTCTGTATTTTGTCAGCGTCCTCGCCTAGAAGGATTATATCGTCTGCATATTCTAAGTCGACGAGATTATTCCCTGGTAGCAATTCAATCCCTGTGTCTCTGAAGTCACTTAGTATTAAGTCCATTAGTACATCTATGATGTAATTGAATAGAAATGGGGATAATGGGCACTATTCGTGACCACTTCAGATGACAACTCGCCGTAAGCCCTCACCTGGCTGACTGCATGATTTCGAGTAGAGTGAGTGCCTTGATCAGTGCAATGTATTTCCTCAGCATTCCCTTTACAGCCAAGCATCGCCAGAGTACCTCTCGGTCGACAGAATCGAATGCCGCCTTAAGGTCAAGAAATATAGCGATTGTTGGACGCCGGTAAGAATGCCTATGTTCTAGAATCTGTCGAAGGGTAAAGGTAAGATCAATACGGCCTCTTCCTGGTCTAAAGCCTGCCTGGCTCTCTCGTGTTTAAAAAAAATGATCTATTGTTAATTTACTACTGGGAGGCATTATAAAACCCTGTGGTGCTGCCCAACGCGTTAAATTAAACTGGGATAAAAATAAAAACCTACACATATCACCGACCTAATTAAACAAAACAGGAAAACTAGTTAGGCCAACTATCTAACCTATAAGCGAGTGTTTATCTTAATTTTGTTGAAGTAGCATTTATAAAAGAGGGGAACTGTGTATTAACCGGTTACTCTTGTTCTACTATGTACTTAAAGCATGAAATTATTGTCAATTGTGAAAGTACACCTAGCATTTTTGGCATTCTGTACTAATTTAACTGTGATCGTGAGCACAGTTCAAATTAGTCAGAATTGTGATGTTTAATACTTTTGACTTTCTAAATCTACTAAAAATTAAATCTAATATTAACTTAGGTTTATATCACAGGATCTTATTATGAGCTAAGATCGGTTAGAGAACCATTGGGAAACCTGCAGGGAGTATCGGACAGCTGCTTCCGTTGTCCTAGTTTGCGATTCCCCAGCAGTACGCCTCCGCCAGGTACAGCGTGAGGACGAATACTCGCCTACGATGACATTTGCTAGTGCCAGTCGCGCTATGTAGTGAATGATCAGGAGTTGGAATTCATGGGCTGGCTACTAGATCAGGTCCCAATGGCTTAATGGTCTGACAGTTTATTTACGCATTAATCCATAACTTTGCAAGACATTTTACCCGGCATTTTCAAATCATTTTGTTAAATATGAAATGTAACCTCATTATGATTTTCTTTATTCCTTCACGTTCTCAGCGGAACATAGGGCTCCAAGCTAGAGGCTTGAAGTTTCTGTAGCAGTGGTGATTATTTTCACATGATGTAGTTACTAGCCTCATGCCCAACGTTTCCTCATAACCAGCATCATTTCTGGCTTAGCGAGGTAAAGGAGTGTGTCGGTGGCCGGGGATCGAACCTCGGAACATGTGCATGGTCGGCGAGCGTCCTAACCGCTGTGCCACCGACGCACAAATCAAATCCCTACAAACCAATACTTAAATATTAAGTTTATATTCTAAAAACTAAGTGACACTTGTGACGATTCCTTGTAAGAGTGTACAAAAGTATCCATATGGTGGAATTTTTGTTTTTTGAAGTACAATAATACGATAGAATTAACTGGGTAAACACACTCATAAAGAAGAAGGATGCTTAGGGGAATAAAAACATCATATAATAATAATAAGGAGACATTTTATACTCCTCTGTCTTATATATAAATTTTAAATTTAGCATACTTTCCTTCCTTACATATTAAGTGGTTCGATCTACTTATCAGTTGACTTTGCATAAACTGACTAGAAAAAAAAATATATATATATATATCCAGCTAAATTTATTTTGGACAACACACCAGACGTTACCATGGTTGCATGCATAAATTTAAGTTAACTAATTGGCATATACATATATTAGGTCAAATACGTTATGATGACAAATCAAAAAGAAAAAAACAGACAATAAATAATTAAAAGACTACAGTAAGTAATAAAGACAAGTTGTTGTGTGTGCTTCACATTTACATTACACCACTAAAAATAACTCCTCTGTTCGCCCAAGAAATGAAATTGCAATCTGAGAACGCTACAACAACAAAACAGTTGGTAAAACTTGAAAGGAAGCATCAATCAAATTTTTTGTGTGGAAAAACAAAGGGAGGAAATGTACGTAGTATGTTGTTATTTAATACATTCATTTAATACATATGCGCTCTACAGGAAGCTTGGTTTCATAGATTATTCTACAGGAAATTCTTTGTAAACTTTGATAAAATATACTTTTAAATAATCAAAATAAAACTTAGTTGAATTAATCTAATAATTAGTGTTGTCCCCCAAGATCGTCTTAGTGAAAAGTACTGCCGTTTATACTGTTCTCCCCTTAATAGTCTGCTCACAGATAATTGAATGATATAGATTACAATTTTCAGGATTTCATCATGAGCTGATATCGCTGATAAGAAAACCTGCAGGGAGTACTGCACAGCTGTTTCTGTTGTCCCACTTGGCGACTCTTCATCAGTACGCACCACACTACGGGGTTCAAAACCAGGACCTTCTGGTTACAAGGAGAGCTTGTAGACCATTAAGCCACTGGGACCCACCCTATCCAAAGGCCAATGAATTCTGTCTTCTGCCAAGTCACGACATAGCACGATCCCTAGCCAATGTCTTCGGCGAGTATTTGTCCTCGCACCCGACTTGCTGCACCCTACTGGTCATGACTTCTCACTAGAACTGTAGGCAACTACCTACCTGAGCATCTCATTGATATTCAAGTTTTGGTTTGTAGGGATTTGATTGGTTACAGGATTTCATCATGACCTGACATTAGTGACAAAACCATTGGAAAACTAATGTCAGCTCATGACGAAATCCTGAAACCAATCAAATCCCTACAGACCAACGTTTGAATTACAATTTTGTTATGAAGTCAGAAGCATATATTGCATTACCCTTCACTTCCAACCATCTTCAGAATAATACCAACTATGTTGAATGCTATCATAACTTTATTTGGATGTCTTGACTTTCTTGTTCAAAAAATAAAACAAAAAAATTTTTGGGTTCAATATTACTAATTACCACACGTGAAGAATGCTACGAAGACATTATGATCTAACACATAATTGTTTGGAGAATCGTATCATGAGCTGACATCAGTTACAGAACCATTGGGAAAGCACCTGAGAGTACTTGCATATCGTTCTGATGCGCAATAGCGACTGATCCTATTCAGGGAGTTAACCTTGGGTTATAGCGGGAAGCCGTGACCAGTACGGTACAGCAGATTGAAGGTGTAGCAGTAACTCATCGAAGAAGACATTGCGAAGTGGTTGCGCTATGTTGTAAATTGGCAGAAGTCGGAATTCGTGGGTTGGGGATTGGATCGAGTGGGTCCCAGTGGCTCAATGGTCTACCAGATAGCTCGCCTTGTAACCAGAAGGTCGTGGGTTTGAACCCTGGCAAGGGGTATGCACTGATGAAGAGTCCCACACTAGGATGAAATAGCTGTCCAGTATTTCCTGTAGGTTTTTTAATGGTTCTCTAACTGATGACAGCTCATGATGAAATCCTTCAACTAATCAAACGAAATCCCTAAAAAACCAATACTTGAAAACTTATAATTATCTCAAAGTTCATAAGTGACAAACGTGAATGGACATATTTTAGTCAATGAAAGTGTGATGTTAAATCTACCTGTTCAATAAACAAAGTCTCACTAAAATCATATTATTGTTTATACTTTTTTATCTCTGCGTTTCCAGTGGAACATTAGGCTTCAAAGCCTTTGAGCCTCGAGGTTTTTCTGGGGCAGTGGTGTTATTGTTTGTTTCCTTTACGGGCTGGGTTCGCTAGCCACCCGCAAAGTCTGTCTGTCTGTTTTCGACTTAGAACTTTGCACATATGTGCGGCAGCTCAAGTCGCAAAGTTGGCCATCATCGTACAAAAGAAAGCTGGCAACACCCAGTATTTCCAACCGGTCACTCATGCAAGTAACAACTAGGCCCAATGTTCCTTTGTAACAATAGAAAGCAAGACACGGGAGCCAGGGTGTAATTTTCATTAATCAAACCGTTGTTAAGATATCTACAGTATATATTCGTTAACTAATCAACCAATGAGCGTGTGATTTCGGTTTATATCAAACGACATAAAATAGAATCTTCAAATAGCTACATTGTATTCTGTTGTTGATGCCGAATTGAACTGTGGGAACATGTGAGAATGAAAACAAAGCACTTAGTTCAGCAAAGAGTCTCTTTTCGGCGTCGGCGAATTCATTTTCCCAGCTGCACAATCACATATATATACGTGTTATTTTGTATGTATGTGTACATTAAGTTTGTCAAACAAAATTACAATTGGTAAGGCTTATTTTAACTAAACAGGTGAAGGTGTTAATGAAACTAGGGTAGTAACAAAGGTGATGAGTTGTCACAAACAGTTGTTAAAAAAGAAGTTATGTAATAATAATATGAATAGTTTGATGAGTGAGTTTTACTCAGGATACACATAGAAACAAAGTAGATAATACGAAGTTACATAAGAGTTCTAAATGAATAGAAGAATTATAGGCAATTAAAGAACAGGCAAACAAACATAACTATTAAGTCATCAAAATCAACAAAGTTTGTTACCATGATGGTAGAAGTGGTTGAGTAATTCTCTTTTGTATGCAAAGCGGTTATTTTGCTATGTGAATGGCCAGAGCTTCAGCGATACAAAAAAGACGAAACCGTATTGCCTTTGATAGGTTATTCTTGACTCTGTAGATTACTTTGAAAGAGGCGTTTGTTGAAATGGAATGATCAGTGTTAACCAAGTGTTCAATTATCGCACTCCCTATTGCACCACTATTGCCTTTTCGCAACCATGGTGGAGAGTGTTCTTGAATCCTCTTGGACAGGATGCGCGTCGAACGACCGATGCACCTGGCTCCACAGCAGCACGTGAACTGATAAATGCACATAGAAGTGGCCAGATGCGGGATCTTGTCCTTAAGACTTCTGCAGATCAGTGGGCGACTAGAGAACACTATTCTTAGTGTTGCTGCAAAAAATGTTCTTCTCAGAGATGATGCGATCCTTCTCTTGAGAATATCACTTGTTAAATCTTCCTTGAAATCCAAGTTCATGTAGTTTCTTTTTAGGCGCAATTAAAGTTTCATTCATCCGAATTCTTGGTTTGATATTTTTGTCGATGAATCTTACTGGGTACCCATTTCGGATGAAGGTTTCTCTTAGAATATTTAATTCCGTTTCCAGAACGTCGGAACTGCGGATGCGTCGGACGCGGGTGGTAAGTGATTTAATTAAATTCCGCTTTTGTTGAATGGGTAAAGTGCTAGAGCAGCTTGTTAGCTGACCATTCCAAGTAGCTTTTCTATGGATCGATCTTCTTATGCTCCCGTCAGTTCTTGTTAGTTCCATATCAAGAAACGGAATTTTGGATTCGTTTTCCTTTCCAAGGGTGAATTTTATTGCTGGATGGCAACAGTTAAATGTCTTCAGCAGTAGATTGATGACTGGAATTTGTTTGTTTGCCTGTTCTTTAATTGCTTAGAATTCTTGTATTCATTCAGGACTCTTACGTAATTTCGTATTATCTACTTTGTTCCTATGTGTATCCTGAGTAAAACTCACTCATCAAACTATTCATATTATTATTACATAACTTCTTTTTTAACAACTGTTTGTGACAACTCATCACCTTTGTTACTACCCTAGTTTCATTAACACCTTCACCTGTTTAGTTAAAATAAGCCTTACCAATTGTAATTTTGTTTGACAAACTTAATGTACACATACATACAAAATAACACGTATATATATGTGATTGTGCAGCTGGGAAAATGAATTCGCCGACGCCGAAAAGAGACTCTTTGCTGAACTAAGTGTTTTGTTTTCATTAATGCCTGGATGGGGATTATACATGTGAGAATATCATTCCATCGGCACACATTGTTTGCATCACACCACCACCATCATAGCTTAACTTTGATGTGATCGAACGGGGACCAATGTTTTCAATGCGGTATATTGTCACTGACCCTTGAAACTAAGGTGCTATGTAATACCATATAAATTTTTTGTACTGAATATACCAAACAGTGGTATGATTATGAACAGAAAAGTATGTTTAACGCTTCGTCGAATAAATAATTTTGATTTTCTGTGTGACACACAAAATAAACAAAAAATAATAATGTGGGAGGAAAGTTTTTCTTTTGAAATAATAAAGACGTAGACCACAACTTACGTGAATTCAGACTGACCACTGGGTTTAAGCATAACAGTCTTAAATTTTCCGCATTTAAATCATTATTAATGTATGAGGAAGACATATTGGAAGACTTAGATTTCACTTCATGGTTATAGGCTTTTTCGACCGTAGAAGTAGTATTTACACCGATGTTATACCTGAGCGTCAAATCTTCTGAATGGAAATTTGGATTATCGAATAAAATACGATCAATCTCTTCAAACATTTCATGTACACGAAAAGACTGTTGTCGATCGAATTCCTGAAAAGTGTATCGTGTATATATACAGTAAGAATATGATAAAATTAACGAATAATACCGGAATATATTATTTTCACATATATTTCAAATTATTTAAACAATATGAAAAATGTTTCGGATAAAAAGCTTGCGGCACAGGATTTCATCACGAGCTGACACCGGAAAACCTGCAGAAAGTACTGGACGGTGGTTTCTCTTGTCCTACATTGAGACAATTCATCAGTCCGCACCCACCACCAGGATTCCAAACCGCGACCTTCTGGTTACAAGGCTAGCGAGCTCGTAGATCACTAAGTAGCCACTGGGACCCTGTGCAGTCGGCAGCCCATGAATTCCAACTCCTGCTCATTCACTACATAGCGCGACTGGCACTAAGGAATGTCATCGTTGGCGAGTATTTGTCCTCACACCCAACTTGCTGTACCCGGTGAATGCGTACTGCTGAAGCGTCGAAAACAGGGACAATGGAAACAGCTGTCCAGTGCTCCCTGCAGGTTTTCCAATGGTTCTTTGACTGATGTCAGCTCATGATGAAATCCTGTAACCAATCAATGTTTTTGTTTACTTTATTAACGCTGAATTTGATTTGAAGGTTGATTATCACAGGAACCAACAGGTATGTTAGGAAATTTAAGCAGTTCATATTCACCCAGCAGATGTGCTATACAAATGAATTATGAGACAAAAAATACCTATTTCAAGACTTACTATACTAACTATACTAATGTATCACAGTAGAAACGAGATCACTGAGCAGTAGAGCAAACGAAACTACTACTCTAAACAAGTTACAGTTGAGCAATTGTTAGATTTCAGGCAGTGCACTTAATTTACTTCGCTAAGTAGATAATTTGTTATGCCATATTAGGTCCGTTTTTGTTCTATATGAAGTATCGTTTTAAAAGAAACATTTTACGCCTAAATGATTACAAACGGACTAAAATTAACTATCGAAAAGTGAATAAACGAAAGTGTATGGGGTAAAAAAGGGAAGGAAAAACTCTGAATAACATGAATTTAAATATTTCGGTAAATTTAATGTTTATTTAGTATATTTTCTTCTTATCCTATCAGTGAAGTTTTGCTCAACTAATCTACTTTTCTAGTTCACTTTACTTTAATCGCATTTTAACTGATTAAAAAATGTCACTTTTAATTGTTTGGAGGATTTTATCATGAGCTGACATCAGTTAGAGAACTATGGGCAAACCTCGGAGTACTGGACTGATGTTTCCATTGTCCTAACTTAAGACTCTTCAGCATGATGCACCCACCACAGCGGGTTCGAATCCATGACCTTCTGGTTACAAGGCGAGCTACCTCGTAGACCATTAAGTCACTGGGACCCACCCGATCCAATGGGTCAGTCAATGAATTCCAGTTCATGATATAGCGCGACGACTTGCAAATGTCTGCCTCACCTTCAACCCGCTGTACCCCACTGGTCACGGCTTTCCACCATAAACCTGGGTTAACTGCTTGAATAGAGCCAGTCGCTAATGAGCATCAAATGAATTTTCAATTAATGGTTTTTGTAGTGATTTGGTTTAATTAGTTGGAGGATTTCATCATGAGCTGACATCAATTAGAGAACCGTTGAAAAACCTGCATGGAGTCCTGATGAGGTGTATCTGTCAATTCAACTGAGCTTGTGGTGGAGCAGGTTATATTGGCCGTCGCTCCAGAAAATTGACTTTTTGTGCTCTTTCGAGAACATCTACCCGTGTGGTTAAATAAAGGTATAGTTAGCAACATCAATAGCTCCATATTAGAAAATCTGGTCCAAACCGGCCACAGAGCAAAATATTGAAGATTCCATCATCTATCAGGTAGCAAACAAATTACCTAAAACATCCAGGCACCGCAGACTCCAAGCAGCAGAGGCTATTATGATTCGCTTGAAACACCCGGGGTTCTGTCTGCAGAACAAGTAAGTCCAGCAACTTCTATAGCCCTAGCCTTCAGTGGAGACTATGAATTCATGAATTTTTATAATTATTTTTCCTAATTTTTCTGATATTCAACATTGAGTAGCACATTGTCATCTACCAAATAAAAATATAAACAATAAATGTTTTATAATCCTTCAGGGTCACTCGTCAATTACACTAAATATTGTTTGTACACCGTTATACAACTACTTACATTGATGCATGAAAATGCTCAAATGCTCAAGCTACACAGCAGGTGAGCTAAATAGGACTTATTTAAATAAAACACCATTATTTAAATGATTTCAATTGCAGGCGGAACTGACGAGTCTGTGTGCAGGGCAACAGCACTCAGAATGAAAAACGAGATGCGGATTGTCGACTCCAGTGTGAAGTAAGTGATACTTAACATATGGATCAGAGACTTGCATTGCGTGTCACGAAGAGCACCTCAAACAAACTGTAGAACCTCACCAAAAGCTGTCTTCGCTCAACTCTGCTCAAGATCAGATGGCCAGAAAACATCAGCTACAGGGAAGGATGTCTGGGAGCGAACCTACGCAGCAAGAACTAACCGTGCAACGAATAAGCAGGAAGAAATAGAGGTGGATTGGATTGTGACCATACTCTGAGAAAGCCATCAAGTGACATCACACGCCAGGCCATCACTCGAGTGGCTACCCAAAGGGAAGTGATGAGTTGGTCGTCAGTGCAAGGGTGACATGAAGGAAGTGATGCGAAGAGGAGAAGGAAGCATGTGTGGGGACGTAAAGGTAGGTGAAAACGTTGTCAGAGAAGCGAACGCAATGGAGATGTGAGGGTGAAGCCCTATGCTCCTCTAGGAACTAAAGGAAATAATACTGAGATAGACACAAAAGTCAGACTGGGAAACTACAACAACAGCATCAATCGCAACAACTACTAGACAAAGCATGTAGTATTCTTATAATTACAAAATCCGGGAAATTTAAGCCACAAATAAGCGAATAAAAACTGTTCAATAAGATTGTTGTGTCGGTGCATGCATAAATCATGCCTTCACAGTTAACAAAACACCTTGTCCGTCCAGACATCTTGGTTTTTATCAGCATTAATTTTTAGTTTTTTTTAACGTCTCAGCTGCATTTTCCTTATTTGCTCCAAAAACAATATACGAATAATACAGAAATGAACTTTAATTATTACTCAATGGAGGCAAGTCAACGTAGACGAGTTTCTAACAAATAAGCTGGTATATCCATAAGTTCCGTAGTCAACTAGTGCAAGGTAGATAATCCTTCGTCATAAAAGGTTGAATACATAAATCCTAGAACTGTATGTTAGGTCTATTTCGAAATATGAAATTCCTCTTTAAGTTTTAAAAAACAATATAAATAAAAACTTAATGCAAACCACAATGAAATCTGATGCAGCAAATACATTATTATCCCACTGTATGAAAATGCAAACTTTAACTTTGGACTATCTATATCCCCTTTTGATTGTTGTAACGGAACTCATGCCGCTGGTCAGCTTGCTAACATCAAGTGCAACAATTCAGTAAAATGAGTGACCGTATAAAAATCGATTTAGTTAATATTCAATTATCTGTTGCACACCTTAGAAATGATATTGAGTGGTTAAAGGTAATCATCAAGAGGTGCTGAATCGTGATTACATGTCACGAAGGAGCATCTGAAATGTCACAGGGACTATTGTCCTCTCAGAGATTCAAAATCAACCAACCCCCTCACCAAGCGATCTTGTGGAGCATTGAATGTCCTTCAGGACAACCTCTTCAGAGCAAACTTCCACAATGGTATAAAGAGTACTGATAAACATAATATATTATCTCCCTACGCAGCTCACCTTGCCAATCAAAGATTTCGTAGATTCACGCATTCTTTTTATCTGACCACATCTAACTCTTCCAATCTAATTCAACCCCAGTGGATATATCTTGTAGAGAAAGGAAGTGAATTTCATATGTACCAAATGTCTGAACTGAGTTAATCTCACAGCCCCATCAAGTGACTTTTCCTCTTCATCTAACATTCTACACCTAACCTCATCAATACTCACTACATTTCTTCACCTGATATAAGAAAATGAATGGAAACGCCTATGATCGAAATCCGTTTGTCCCTTCATATCTTCCAGTTTTGACAGCCATATCCGATAGCCATAAAGTAGGACAGAACTAATAGATAGACATTTAATTCAACTTTAGATTTCCCTATCGATTGATTGGACTGAAGTATTCGGTCTCAGACTGACATGTCGGCTCATTGTGCATATGCTTTTACGATATCTGGTCATGTAACGAGAAAATCTGGAATTGAATTAAATAATTAATGTGACCGGTTGAACAAGAGGTGGTTCTTGTGACCCGACTGGTCTAGTGGATAACGCTTTGGTGTTTGAAACTATGGGCACTGGGTTCGAGCCTCGGGGGGAACAGCAACACTCACTTGGAAATGCAGGTACATCCACCTGACGGGTCTTAAATAGGATGAAATGAGCGTTGTCCTGGATTTCACTGCTAGTCACCATTCACCAAATGACTTCGAACAGCTAGACGGTTTAGACGTTCTTCAATGTATAGGCTGATACTACACCTATGGTAAAGCCAATTCAAGTTAGCAAATGGTATACGAAGTTTTCGCAGTCATCCCGATATGTGGTCAGCAAGTAGTCCATTCGGGCTTATGTGGGTGGATAACTTACTCAACTATTTTACTTTGTATCCTTAAACTTGGGAGCCGAAATTTAGTATTAGATGCCAGAAGCCTATGGTCTAGAGTCGTTAAAACTGGTTTATGTGCAAGTTGAAAATCATAAGCAGGGCACACATCGTGTATCTTAAGCGACAGATTTCAGTCGTCATAAAACTGAACAGTAATATTGTTTGCTGGTTTTTTGACGATTTGGTGTACAATTCACTGTACACATTTTAAATGAGTGGAGTGAGTGACAGTACAACAATCACAACTTATTTATGTTTTTACGTGCTAAAATCACTTACAATGCACATAATGAATCGGTCTTCTACGTAACCCCCAAGTTACATACTTAAAACAAGCAGATTTAAATTATCCAGTGTCATACAAGTGTACACGTTATAGAAAAGCAGACGACATTTCTGTTGAATAACGACGCACCTGAATTTAATCTAAAGGGGACAAAACACCCGTTTATTGGAGAAAGTGAGTATCTTAAAGTCATTTTCTATCTAAAATATTTTCTTTTAAATGAGGACTTAATGATAAATCATAACAAAAATAATCAGGTACGGCTGTAATGATTCTGTCTCTTTTTTTACGCTATGATGATAACCATTCAACCTTCAGGCATACAAGTACTTCCTACTTTTGCAATGTATACAAAAATAGCAATGAAATCACTTACGCACATATCATCACCCCATTCAGATGAAGAAACACTGGCCCAGTCAGTTGCATTCGTTGAATTCACATCATAATATTTTATGTTGTTGCAATTTTTGCCTATATCTGATTCGTTGTAATCTAAGGCGTCTTCTGATGATTTCGTTGACTTTCGGTTTTGATAGGTGGTATTGTATCGGTTATACCTCAAATCACTCAGTTTACTTTGTTCTTCTAATTTTTTAAGATTTGAATGAACCAACTGTTTGGTAGGACACTTTAGGTTAGGACTTTTTGAATGTGAAGTCGATTTTGTCTCTTGTTTGCCGAAAGTATGCTTTTTATTTAATTCCGGTATAATATCCTTGGATTTATGCACAGTAGAATGTGAAGAAATATAACTGGTGAGGTGCTTTTTTGAGTCTAAATTCGTTTGTACATTATCAACTGATATTTTCGGCTCAGTATTTGTCTCCTTTGTATCGCCTAATGTCACGGAAGCATTATTGCATTGCATAAGCCATGCTGAGATTTGGCTTGCATTTGGTGCTGCATATTCCTTACAAATTGTTTGGTCAATTTGGTTAACAGGTGTAATCTTTTTGCTACCTTCGATTTTGCTGATAACATATTGTAGGGATATTTATAAACTGGTCTATTTACATAATAATTATCACTTGGCTTTAAAGGCTGATAGTTTTGTATAGAGTACTTTTTGTCGAAATTAATTAAAAAATCCTTTTCATCCCTGAGGCATATTGCACGTTTTGACCTGAGTGTAGGATTTGTAGTGATAGGTGACTTTAATTCCGTTTGAATTTTTATGATTCTGTCAAGATTTGTGCATTTCGCATATTTGTCACTGAAGGCTTTTCGAGATGTACTGTTTGCTACTTGTTTTTGATTAGCCTGGTGACATTTTACAGTGCCTGAATTTTTGACATGAGGAAGTTCCCCACCCATCTTTTCTGTGTCCTTATTAGCTGTGTCCGTCTTCTTCCAACTGCGCGGTGTCGTTCTATTTGTCAGTACAGAAGCTCTGGAAATATCTCTTTCATTAGGTCTGCTAAAAATGTAATAAACTGCTTGTAAATTGCATTATAGGGAAGTAAAAAAATTTCCAGGAAAATATAAATCTTTCCGTTAAATAAAATTCCTCATAGCTTAAATTTAAACATAGAGGAAACAAAAGCCCACTACTTCTGTTCATCCTGATCGGTCACATAACTGTAGCGTAATACAGTAGAATGTGCTGCACTGTTTCTGCAGTTGAAATATCCATCTAGAAAATTAACTCTTATTATGTTATAACCTTTTGAAAGCAAATCACTTTTCTTCACATGTTACTAATAGGTTGAATGCCTCAATTGAAACAAACTTAAAAGACATCTGCTCTAATTAAACCAATCTGTTTTCCAAAGATAGTTCTGTTGAAAATCTATGCTGGCAAATCTCCCTGGAGTTTTGCTCACAACGGATATATTATTTGCAGAAATTGCTCTTTATTTGCTGTGTGCTGCCTCAGACAACTTAACCCCGAAAGTCTCTTCTCATAGCTTATTCACTTTCATAACAGGCTAGAAAACTACTTAACACAATCACACATGGCTTAAATTACTGTGACACGATCACACGCGCTTCTTTGAATGATGACACACAATATGCATAACCAGAACCAGTAAATGTTCTCTACTATGATCTGGAAAAAGATCGGTATTTTTTGGCATAATTTGGTATAAAATTTAGCAAGTCAAAGAACCACAGTCAAGAAATGACAGTTATATCATTCACAAAGAATTCCACAGCTTCAATTTGCATTAAATTTAGCGCTAAAGATGTTTTCTAGAACGAAAGTTCCACAATTAAACCAGCTAGGAACGAAAATAACCACACTAAAAACATTCATCTAAGCTATAGGACATTCTATACTATTAAAAACTACTACATACTTTCCAACTGGTGTAACACAGATCATATTCATCACAAACATTTGAAATCAAGAGGATTGATTGAATCTCAGTGTATCATGTTTAACATTGCAGCGAAGAATGCTGGAGTTGTCGCTGAAACAGCTTGTAACCACAACCAATTATAGTAGGTTTTAAGATTTCTGTATAAACTGTTTGTTAACACCTCACAAGATATCAGTCTCCGATCGTTTAGAAATGCATAATATTGACATGAAAAATGTTCACTTGTGTATAAGTATTCATTGGATTTTATGTTTTCTTTTTGAAAGCTTCTCTTTGAATTACACTTCTTACTACTGAGGTTAATACGCACTGTCTACTCTTTTAAATAGCCATTCAGACCGGTTTTTAGAATTTCATTACTCTAGTATACTGAGTCCGACATCATTATTAGCATGATATCTGGTGCTACTGCTTAGCAGTCCTTGTTGCTACATATAGTATCGGTGTATCAAGTCGGTGGAATTAATAAGGCGATGTGAATTTGAAATGATCTTTCAGGGACAGTAGAATGCTTTAAGATGGGAAAAGAGTAGGTTAAGCACAGGAAGAAATGTGAGGAAGCAAACAGGACAAAATATGATACGGATAAATCTCACTTCGAGACAAATGACTTACAATTTCCAAAACTCACTTTCATTCTCTCCTGGAATGCATTCTGACAATCGATAAATTCATACACGGCTCAAAATAATAGTCATTAACTTATTGAGCCACATGTCGACTCAGGTGATCTTCGCTCACCTTCAGCCTAATGCTTGTTTTTGAATAAAATACTACTTATGTGAACAGTGATTATATATGAGATATATGTAGATATGCTAGCCTGCCCACATGGCAAAAATTTTCTGCCATCGACTGGCCAGGCAGTTCAGGCTCCATACCTACACTCGACACTTTTCATGCAGTGATGCCACCAAGTTGACTAATGTCAAAAACCCCATAGTGACTGAGTGCATTGTTAAGTATAGTACGTACACATATCAACATAAAATCTGTATGCAGAATTATTTTTAATTCACGAGGAATGATGTTCATTCGAATGACCACAATTTACATGCAACTTGGAAAATGATGTCGAAAATAATTATTTTAAGTACTTAAGCAACTCCACCTGTCCTCACTTTTAAGAAATTAACTCAAAGGAAGTAGACATTCACTTGAATAAAAGCCAGAAAAATGTGACGAAAGAGCATAGCCACACTCAAATTTATGTTAGGAAATAAAGTCATCTGGGACAAAGGGATAGTACAAAAACAACCAAATGTCAAAATGGAAACTTTCAACACTTGAGTATTGCATATATAAATATGTCTTCACTTCCGCCTGTAGGCCAAGTCCACTAAATACTGATATCCGTTAGGCGTATAACTCGAATAATTGTGCAAACGGTTTACTAGTGTTATACTATTTTCAGTTCGCATTCAGGCAAAATGATATCTTTGATAGCATAAATAACGAAAACGTCTTCAAAAATCCAACAGAAGTTTTGAAAGCAACAACTTACGCCTCAGAAGCTCGAGATTGCCTTTTATTAGCAATACTCATCTATAAATTACACGACATGTAAAACCCGGCGTCGTTGGAAACGTTTTCAAAAACACGCCTAATATAAGGATCCCATAAAACAAAAGCATCTTAACATCTATTCCATTCGCTACATCACACTATAATTCAAACGCTATGGAATTTATAGACTTTCAAATTTGCAAAGAATGACACACAAAACACTTAGAATGTTCTTGAGGTAAGTATGATATAACACCCAGTATCTACTTGATCATATGGCATTGATATATCGGTATCTTGTCACTCACATCTAAATGTCAACAACATCCCCGAAATGTGAACATATATTTTTAAAATAGAAATGGAATATTAAAAAACACGCAGTCTAATAAGATAAGGAGATCGAACGAGTTATATGTGAGAAAAAGACGGAGTGTCTGGAGGTAACTATAGTGTCAATAAAGTCCCTGACATCATGGCTGATCAGGCGTACATCTCTTCAATGTCAGTTACCATCCGAGTTTCTGAAGCAGTTTCCAGTTGACCAAGGGTTGGAGAAGTCAGCTACCTGTGGTTTCCATAAATATGAGACTCTGATATGCACTAAATTGTACTTCTGCCCTCTGATGGTGAGCGTTGAGCTAATAACATCAGCCCATGTTAAACAACCACACCTCTACTGAGATGCTGAGGCCTAAAGACAAATTTTGCCCCCACTTGAGTACGCAGGGAACCTCGCTGCCTCAACTGGTGGTGCCAAATCATATTTGAAGAGTGGAAAATCCCAAGAAAAAGAATTTATGAGATAGTTTCAGAACTAGACAGGAGGAAGCCAAACATGCACCCCCGATCCACCACAGATGGCAGCAACAAACTTACTCAGAGGTCGAGAATACTAGGCGACCCTCATAACTAGTCATCGAAACGAATTTTGTGCCTAGAATAGTAGAATTTAAGCAATGACCATACTCCAAGGGAAGAAATTTTCATATTTGGCTTCTTGTCGAAACCACATAGTGATTCTGAGTTACCGAGGCTAACGAAGAAACTGAACGACCCTAAAAGTGAATGATTACGCTTTTTTGGTCCCCAGGAGCTTGACCGTAATCCGAATGTAATATTGAAAGTAAAGTAATTTAGAGGTCAATAATAAAATACAGATTTAACGACTTCATTTCGGCAGAACCACAGATCAGTACCGGAGTTCTATTATAGACAAAAATCAAGGATAGTTGTATGGCAATGCTCTGTTAGATTTTGAGCAGAGAACACCATTTACGGTACCACGCAGGTTTCGCGAGAAAATACTATCTCGTGAGCCAAAGTGAGTGGCACTCGAGTACTTGAAATGATATTTTGACCTGGATCCCTACTCATTCCCCATAGTAAATGTTGAAGGATGATGAGTCTATTCAGCAGCCCCTTCAGTCTATTTCGACAGCATCGGTGGGCCGCTCAGCAAACGGCATTCTATAAGTGTTTGCGATCGCAGTGTGTGCCATGCTTCGAGTACACGAGGTAGTGATTGAAGATTAATGCGCTAGAGCTGAAGCTGATGTGCCAGTGTGATACACCTCTGGGGGTTGTGACGCGCCAACGATGGTCACCGCAGATTGAAGCCCCCAATTTGAAGGCGAAATGAGTAATTGTTAATGATTGTTAATTCTATGAACGAATTTGTGGTCCCCAACTTTCAGCCCTATGCCATGCAATATTTAATATGACAGAGTGAAAAAACAGGACAACCAGGTGTAAGAAAAATGAGCGGCAGGAGAACAATTTATCACACCCTAAATACCCTAGTCTGAATTAGCACTATATACAAACGACTTGAAACAAAGCATTTGTGATGCAGTCGGCCACATTTACCAGGCTGAAATTGTGATATTACTTTAGAAATTCACCGCATAGAATTGGCTATCAAGCAAATTTTAATGCCACAGATTAGCGGTAACTCCTCACATAAGTAGCTCTGGTGTTGTTCAAACAAGCACCCGACAAAAACTTCTAGTTCACGATTTAGTGTGTCGTACGAGCTACAGTGGATCCTTCATTAGTTGATAATGTATGTCATTACGAGTCTTCGCTCCTTATAGCTCCTATGGATTATTTATCATCACCACGCATAAAGTACGCCTAGGATATTTTATATAGTTTGTATTTTTATCGTTCAGGTTGTAAGCAGCTGAGAAGAGACCGCGAAATAGTAAAGAATGAATCCGTATTATACTGACACATTTATCCCTTATACTTTGTCCAAGTTTATTGGCGGGACAAACTGTATAAAGACTGAAATTACTCCGGAATCCCCTTTAGACTTTGTTATTCGCTTAATACTCTCTCTTCTACCACTGATGAAACATATACACCACTCGGCTACCAGTGACATTTTATACGGCCGATTGACTCTCAAGTGATTTTTCCGTAATATCAAGGTGTCACACGAATGACCTGATCATTACCCATCTCAAATTACCTGTGATAGGCTGAAAAGGAATATATGTTAAATTCAGGTCGAAACATCACTACCTCTTATGAAAACAACGTTTCACCAGCTAAAAAAGTGAAGAAGGATATTTTGTTAAGCCATCTTGTTAAAGCAATGCATGTGTATTCAGGTGAAAACAGATTTCAGAAACGTGAATAAGTGAACAAATAAATCGGAATAGTCAACGGAGACACTTCTGATACGAATGAACGCTGATTGATGAATCATGTCTTCATAAACTGCATGAATCAGTGAGACTATCTGGTACCAACGCGCTTATACTTTGTGTTTTACCCTAAATCCATCAACTTAAACTGTCAACTAGCGTGATAACAGGTCAGCTAAGGTGATAGTGTGGAAGCATTAAACAAAAGATGTGTTAAAAAGGGGAAACCTTATCAGATGACACTTGTGACACCTGGTGATGATGATGAGGCCCAGCCTTGCGGCGCTTATTTCATAAAAAGTAGGTGTATCGCTGTTGTGATGTGGCTGTCCTACGTGTAAAACACGAATTTGTAGCGCACAAAGCCTGTCCGTGGTTCTGCCCACCGTGGTGCACAAACGCATTCGTTCTAGCCAAGATCCCTAGGGAGATCTATTCAGACAGAGTAAACTCGTAGCCCTCTGTCCTAGTTATAACTGAGGCGGAAATCGATGCCCCAAGCGATTATTCACCTTCTGTCACACCTCTGGCGGTTAGGCAGGAATATTTACTGGTCGCGGTACACCGAAGGCCTGTCTCCAGACGGGAAATCTTTTAATCATCAAGAAGAGGTAGGGACGGCGGACGAAAGTAATCTGTGATTATGCTGAGTGTTACCGCTGATAGTGATACCTTGCTGACTGATTAGGACCTGTTCGGTAAACAGCTGTGGCCCCAGAATGGGTGACATACAGGCCAACTGATGTTGGCTGCACAAAGAAAGTGTATCTCAATCACTAAGAGTAACCCTGAACCCAAACAAGGTGTCAGGACGAGTCATGTTGCTTTCGCAAACGTAGGTTGTCAACCGATCTTGAGTCAGTAAGGTAGAAGCTGGTCGAGCGTGGGTCATGCAAAACGTATATCCCTGAACACATGATGAGATCGGAACAACGCATACGGGCATATATAGCATTTCAGAACTGGTCCCAGTGAGGTAGGAGTACCTGTGTGATACGCTGCAATGGTGACAGTCGGCCACACAGCTGGAGTTGGGTGGGGTCGTAGCAATCAGTCCCTTCAGGCCACTTTGTCCACCACGCTTATCTACGCTAGTTACACTACGAATAATGGTAATGGAGTGCAGAAGCCATGACATCCTGAGCGACGATTTTGGGCGTGCTGCACATATAAAGAAAGTAAGAACAGCAGTATATGATGCTGGAGGAATAAACCAAAAACTATACTGCATTAACACCAAAAAATTACTCGACTATCCTCATCCTGAGTCATTCCCGAGCGGTAGACATTTGACCTTATCGGTAAGAAGGCAACTCCCACAATTGAAAAACAGGCAGCTCCTGTGGAACTGGTCGCCATTAGAAGCACCACGGTGAAGAAAATAAGGTACCACCAGAGAAAACTGAGCGAAATAACTGCTTAATGGGGGGAACTGGTAGGTGCCTTCGTAGCAACATTAGAGGCCTCAGAAGCGAGATGACTGAAGCCAGCGCCATATTCGCACATTTTCAACCGTCACAGGTAATTCTGAAGGATAAATGGGAAAAGCTGAGTATTGACCACTGGTGGAATGACACCATGCAGGACGGAAATGGAAGGAGTAGAAATGTTGTGGCGATCACCATTTGGTCAGACTTTTCCGCCGAAGCAACAGTGACCAAACGAACTGAGTCAGTCTTGCGTTGCATGACTGCAAGTAACACCACGTCCCTGATTACAAATACTTACCTATCGTAGACAAGAGGGGTAAAACACAAACCAAAAACGATAGAAGCCACCTTTATGGCCTTAATATGGGATATGGCCAGTTAATTATCGCTGGTGTCTTAAGTCAGCATCGGCAACGAACATTCTTACAGAGGACCCTTAAATAAAGAGCTTTCGAGTTCTGTCCTGATGGCTGTGTTGAGTGAAAACATCAGGAACGGCGTCCGCTAGGGGCCAGATGGCAAACCAGAGTGGACCAAGTAGTGGTGGATAAAGAACACTGAAAACCATTGAGTGTCAAGAAAGACCAAGCAGTCATACTGTGTGACTGTTATCCAAGAAACATTGCCCAAAAATGACTTACTCTAAGTTGCAATGAAAAAGTCAACCTTAAGGTAATGTAAGGAACTGTGGAGTCGGCACCTTAGCATAAAGTTATCACTGTCTGACCAAGGACTACGGTTGGTGGTGGGTAAAGTCAGTTATCTAACATCTAAGATACACTACCGTTTTGAAGGTCTGCTTTTGACCCGATTGATTTCTATACCTTCGCTGCTTCGTTATGACGTGAAGGTTCCTGGTCTGCACAGTTTGTCCTACCACTCGACCATCGCAGCTTTGGTCGACTGAAAGAAGAGCGGTGAGACGATTAGCTATGCAGTGTGCTACGACCGTAGCACTAATGCGAATGGAGTTTATCCCTTCACCCTTATTCATCCAGTGAGACTGAGAAGAGGGATAATA